ACGCTGAAATAGTCAAATACAATACTTTCTATCTCTATGGTTGATATAATGTAGCAATATTTCATTAAGATCGATTTCCGGGCGTCATATCCTTATTAATTTCAAGATAGAAACGCAATTTGAATTTCATTATTTTCTTTTAGAAATTAATTTTTAAAAACTACGATAAATCGTCTCTGGTTTTATTCCCTCTCAAAAAAATTATAAAATAATTGATTTTAAAAAATGAAAGCGCATCGAAGATTTCTGAGAGTAAATTACAAACAGAAGAGCACTGAAAGCAGATTGAACCCGAAATACTGAAATAGAGTTGCAAGCTATTGATCCCTGAAAGAGAATTCCAGAATGAAGCTCACTTAAAGCGAATTGCAAACTGCAATTCGATTAAAGCGAATATAAAGGTTGCCAGAGACTTGCGACATAAGGCATTCTGAAAGTTGCAAATTGAATGTCATTGAAAGCAACTGCAAACTGTAGATCGAAAAATTTACACAAATGAAAAACGTACTGAATATTGGCGTCATGACATTTTTTGATCATGTTTTGGAATTCGCTCCGATTGCCACTTCTAGTCTGTATCTTGTAAGAGACTGGTTCATATCGTTCAATCCACGGTCTAATATGTGTAATGTTTGATATAATTCGGTTCTCATTTGGAGGCGACACCTAATGAAGAAGGTTGATGAGAAATAAACACTTTTGCCAATTGTATATTAAAAAGTATTATTGGTATAGACCTAGTATGTATAAACTTTTACAATTATTATCAACTGAAAATGTGAGTGAACTAAGTAATATAGGGAAATTCCTACAGAAAACAGAAACACTTGGAGATTCACATCTGTAAACTAAGGTTTTTTTTCTTTAGTAGTTGGTTGGAAATATTGTACACAATTAATATTATGTTAAAACAAGTGTATGTAAATATTTCATGTATGTACATTTTATATTTTGCATTTTGTATTTTGTAATTATGAGTATGTAATCTGATAAGGCATATGGCATAAGGAATAAATAAACAAACAAACAAACAGGTCATGCCAATAAAACCCTTATTGCATACAATTATTAAAATCATTTTAGGTGTTTAAATTTATGTGTTTAACATTTATGACAAAACACTAAGCCCCAAAACATCAGCAGACAATTCCATCCATAAATGTTCCTAAATCTACTAATTTTATTTCAAAGTCGTTTAAGAGGCAGATTTACAATTGTTCGACTTCTTGTTGAAAAAGAAGAAAAACCCAGTCTTACTTCAATAAAATAAATTACATTATATCACAAAATTTAAACACGTAGGAATTAGTACAATAGAGACTAGCAGGGAATCAGAGGGACGTCTGGTTCATTAGCAGATGCCTTTTTGATGTGAAACATCTCTGACTTACCTGTACAGCACAGAAGTTATTGGGACCAAGAAAACTTTCACATTCTCCGGCGATATCACTCCATTTCCATTCAAATAATTGGACAATGACGTCAGTTCCCTGACGTTCACATGATTGTTTTTGGTAGTCAAACGATGTAACAACTGTTAAATGGGGAAAAAAATTATAGATTGCGAAAATGCCTTCGATTATTATTTGATTTGGAAGGGAAAAATATCTGTTGGAAATTTAAAATTGATAAAACAAAGGAAAATCTGAAGCTTTGATATACAAATAAAAATATTATGTTTGATAACAATTTAATATTCTTATTGTCACGCCATAATTACATGTTACAAAAACACAACATTTTCATAAATTTGTAACAATGAATAAAAAATACTCTTACCTTTTGATGAAAGAAAAATAATAAGTGTTAACAGGGGTGTTTTTGATCGCATCATTTTTTAGGTGGGAAAAAATAAACGAGAAAGATTTGACACCTGCAGTGGAGATAACAGGCGAGGAATCAGGTGTAAAAATATATCCGTAGAAAAACTCGACAACAGTAAATAGTTAATGTAGCAACCACCACTGGTATGAAGACTGCTCTGGGTTACAAAAATTGTTAACAGACACGAATGCATCAGATGCGACACCATGAACCTTTCTCAGCAAGAATTTCAACAGTTCTGATAAGCATATAAAATATATACAATAAAGGATTCTTTTTTCTAATGTATAACTTTTAAACAGAGATAAATACATAAATATGTTTTACAAGGTATTCAAAACATTTAAAGGCTATAATTATTATTTTAAAAAATCTTTTTTCCTGCCTTTTCCCTTTCTAATGAAGACGCAGTTTTAACAGTTTTTTTTTTAAATTCTGAAAAAAATATTTCCGCAAAATCTTCACGACGTTCTTCAAAATTTCAAAGGAATGTTCCATTACTTAATATTTGGACGTAACGACGATTTTGATGACCGATTTTTGCCTCCGTTTGAACGGAACATTAAAAGGCATCATTTTAAATTTTCAAAATTTTAGAATATCACTATTTCAATAGAATATAAATTGAAAATTTTTCAAACTTAATTCTAATTAACACAGAGAAGTAACAAATAGCTAGTTATTGAAAAAAAAAATTAAAATGTTATTTCTTGTTTCTAATTCAACATTTTCCCAGTCTGTAAATGACATCATATATATATATATATATATATATATATATATATATATATATATATATATATATATATATATATATATATATATATATATATATATATATATATATATAATATATATATATATATATATCTGTGTGGGTGGGTGTCACTGTGGGTGTAAATAGTGTAGCTTAGGCATTAAATCTAACTTCAATAATTGCAAAGTGTGTCCCAAAAAGTACTCAGAATACATATTTGAAACAGTTGATAATTATTTTTTAAAAAGAAAGTTATTTTCTGATCCGTGTGTATTGAAGTGAACATAAAAATAGTTTTTTTTCTTAATAAAATATAAAATTATAGACATCTTCAAAGAAATTAAGAGACATTCTCTGTAATGACTTGGACTTTATATAGGAGCTGTGGCACACATAGTCTCAGAATTTCTCCAAACTCTCTATGACAAAAGTCTTTGATACCGTAAACTCAAATCAGGCAAAACTTGATTGCTACGTGTCATGGTTACCATAGCAACATGTTCTAAAGTTTGAAAAATGGCATTTTTCAACATGTTCAGAGTCCCACAGTTAACGTTTGCAGCAAAGCAAACAAGTGGCAATGACTGTTTCTGAAAATTGAAGGCCTGATGTCTTTAATGCATGATAAATATGTTTGGTAAATCAATTATTACATACGTTACTATGGAAACAAAGTATTCAAAAGTAATAATTTTGTTCATTTAATTTTATAAAGTCATACACTTAAGAATAAAAACAATTATAGGTTGAAATGCAAGCAAATAATAGACAAGAGATCCTTGTAACACATACCAAGGACGAAATATGATATTTCTTATAGGTTGGCAATGGTTGCCTTGGTTTTTAATACCACGAAGGGATTTTAAACTTACTCCCTTAGTGTTTTAATCTTATCCTATCTTTTTAAAAAGCATATTTCTATATAACTGGTCATCAATTTTTAAAGGCGTTGGTGTCACCCTAATTTTCACATTTCAAAAAATTCAAATTCAATTCTTCAGATAGAGCGTTGCTATGGAAATTAGCCGAAAAAATATGCATAAAAATCTGAAAAATATTCTGTTTCCTTGGATACGTACCCTTGTATGTAAATTCCCAAAACTTTTATGGTTGATATATATGAATAACTAACCTGACTTTCAATTTTGACTACCACCCAATCTCTAACTGGATGCAAAAAAGCTGGAACATAGGGTTTAATATTGATATAAAGTTAACAAAATCGAACATTTTCCCTTCTTGCTTACCATAGCAACAGTGTTGTATTTTTCAAGAAACTTTATCAATGTATGATATTCAACCTTAGTTCTACCAGATAAGTACTAATCAAGGTGAGTCAAATAATACGTTTCTTGATTAAAAGGTAAGTAAATTTCTAAAGCAATAAAAAATACCACTTTAAACAATTAATACGTAGTTTCCATGGTTACACTGCAAAATAACAATTAATCCCAATTTTTCTTATGTTGTCGGTGTTGCAAAGTACTGAGGATGTATATGTGCGAGTCTTGAATTTTATTGTTTATCCTCAAGATAGTAGCATTAACCCGATTTTAGCAAAAGATTTTGCATGGTTTCACTGTGTTACCATGGCAACCATGAAAGTTATTTTTAGAATAATATTGCCAATACCTAATTACTTAAAGTCAAATATTTTTATTGTTTTTCTTAGGTTGTTGATTGCGTTTGATCGTGTAACATCTATCATTAGTGAATACTGAGCGTTTTTCAGCATTTTTCAGCATCTAAAATGTATTCCAAATGTACCCATGGTTACCTTTTACTTAGTGATAAATTCTAAATAGTTTCTTTATAGCATTAGTGGCAACAAGGTGTCATGTTTTTGTGAGAATGGTTTGTTTGTTTTTCTTAGTCTTTATTAAGGCTTAATGAAGATTCAAAGTAGCTGAAAATCTCAATTTTTTCAACTTTTCTGGCTGTTACCATGGCAACCAAGACACATAGCAACAAAATTTTATTTGATATATGTTTCTGGTGTTAAGTTGTAATAATGCGCAAAGTTTCATCAAAATCGGTGACCATGCGTGGCAAAGAAGTTTAAGTGGTTACAGAGAATCGCTATTAACTTTTAAAAAATATTTTGGAGAAAATTTGCTACTAAAGTGCATTAAAATGAATGTAGCATAGGTTTTCTTTTAAAGTACATATTTCAGCAAATATTCAGATTATTATCAAGTTATGAGTCCACGATTCTACGACCAAAACACGATATGACTGTCCCTAGATCCTTTATCTATAGATCTGGCTAAGATTGAAGTTTGCCAAGTATAAGATTTTATTCCCCTGCAATCAAAATATAGATCTATAAAGTGACATCATCAAACACAAAGATTTTTTTAATAAAGTTTTTATTTGATAAAAAATACTACTTAACAGTTCAGAAAGCAATTTGTACAATATGGAGACGTTGTGTGGCCAACAGTTAATACCTGCAACCCCTGCAATTCCTTTTTTTTGTTATTTCCCAGTATACATTGTATCTACAATCATAAAAACAGAGGGACAAGATCAATAAATGACCAAAAATAAATGTTTTTAGAAATTAAAAAAGGAATAAATTTAATCTTACCGACGTGAATAACTATCACAGCAGAGTGAGCATTCTGAGGAATTGTAATTCGAGCCACTCCATCCGAACGTACCACTATTCGTATTCCTGAACAAACGTTGTGACTACCGGATATGACGTCACAATACATGCCTCCCCTAAGGCCTGTCTGTAAATAAGCGTCCAGATTATGGCTAGTTTCAGCATTTATCGCTACGAATCCTTTAGATCCACGAGAAAAGGCAATTTGGTTAGCATTGTTTGTCCACCAGTTATGGACAGTAGTACCTTTTACAGCTTCTCTGAATTTCACCATGTTATATAATGCTTTCAATCGATGTTCACATGTCTGCAATAATGTCAGAAAATTCAACAATCTAGAAGTACAATATAACCAATCAGTGAAGTCTCTCTAGGAGGAAAATGCTTTCAAGGTTCTAGTCTGACACTTATTTAGAGTTAAATTATTTGTAAATCATATTTTGTTACATTTGGAGCATTTTCACTCTACACTTAAAAGTAAAGACTATACCAAACATATTTGAACACATGTTTAGCAGAGATATAAATAACAATAATTTATTTGACTCTGGTTTTATATAAAAAAGAAAATAATGCAGTATGTTTCCTGTAAAAAAAAAGAGTATAAACTCCTGTAATTTTTATTTTTTAGTGAACTTCTTAACAGATTTGCCTTGTTATTCAAACTTGTTTAGCAATTACTTTCCTTATCTATGTAGTAATATTCTAACATCACCTGCATATGGTTTTTATATCTCCCAGCTGATTCGATACGCAAATGCATGCTCTGAGTACGATCATTTTTTAAACCGAGGTAAGTTACTGACAAATAAGTTGATGTTACAAGGATTTTCATAACCCTGTTGAAATTAAGTAATCTTTTCACAAAACCTACGGTCTTTATTATGACCTTGTTTGTAAATACAATCCATCGCTTGGTCGTATTTTGTCCGACATGTTTCATACCATTTGTTAGGTCTTTGCTAAATTTTACTTCGGAGTACTAGTACTCCGTTTACCTGATAAATACATGGGACTCACCTGGCCGGTCGACAGGGGATGCTTTCTCCTCCTAGGCAACTGATCCCACCTCTGGTGTTTCCAGGGGTCAAAAAAGCTTTTGCCCTGTTCACGATTCTTTTTTGTATTGGATTTATGGGATTGATCACTGTTCGATATCTTCACCGTTTGTATGTATACTTCACTAAATAAGTAAACGCAAACATACCCATCCTCCCGAGCAATCTCCATTGGCGTTCACATTGACATTTGCCGTTGACATATCTCCACTGTGAGGAGGTCCTTGCCAAACACTACGGAAGATAATTACCATAGAAATATTTAAGTAAAATTTATTTTGGTAAATCTAATACAATCAAATCTGTTACTTTACATGTGGTGAGTTCTGTAACATGTAGTCAATTTAAGACCTTGGATCTCTCTCTCTCTCTCTCTCAAACTATTACATTTTTGTGTATATATAAACATACTTAGTAAACGAATATCCACTAAACAAGCGTGGAATTCCGTAAGGATAGGCAAGCATCAGAACATTAAGAACCTCGTACATTCTGCGATCGGTATGAGTAAATACTGGCTCTGTAATATTACAAAACTATAAAATGATTGCATGTAGTTGAGGATAACATTGAAAATTTTCAACCATTGTCAACCGAAGCGCATATTTTTCAAACGCTTTTCGACCAATCATATTCGACTAATATTAATGAAAGTATAATGAAAATTATATTGGTTAATACATTGACGGCTATTTAATATCTTTTATTTTAATGAAGTATTTTCATACGTAAAATATCTCTCTGTTTTACTTGGTCATCAATGAAAGTCACTATGTTGCTAGGAGATGGCATTCCATGTAATGTTCCCCAATTTGTATGGAAAGTCTTCAAGCTGTGATTTCTATTTAAAATTTGTGATAAAAAAAATTCCTAAGTAAATATAATTAGAATATTTTAAAGTATCACACATCATGGACATTGGGGTACATTTACCTTATCAGACTTGTCATTGCGACACCATAGTTTTCATACTCTACTTTCCCTATACTGAAATACTCCGACATTTGTACAGCGTCTCCTGGTTTTTCATCAAATTCGTGGTACAGGAAAGGTCGGACTAGGTCGCCATTTATTGATTTTATATCTTTCAGTCTGTCAAATATTGTCTGGAGTTGCTCAGGCCACATGTATTTTGCATTACTAATTCGAAATCCCGAAACTCCAAGATCTATCAATTTATTTAGAAAATCGACAATTGAATCTTGGACAAAACGTCTCCCGTGGTTAATGTCTGCCTTTCCTTCTAATTGACAGTTCCGTACTTCCTCTGGATTGGAATAGGTTTCTATGTTTAAATCTTTCGTATGGCAATGAAGTGAGTCGTGAAAATCCCATCCGCCATAGGGAACAGTCGGGTACGTTCGTTGTTCTCCGTGATAAACCGAGTTTCCGGTACCGTAACCATGGTGATTAACATCAGTCATGTGATTAATGACTATGTCAGCATATACACTGAAATTTTTAATCAGAGGTCAAAACATCTTAAAAATCTGCTGCAGTAATTGTACTTTTTTTCAAGCACAAAGAATCTTTTTGACCATTTAATTTGATTTGGGTGGCGAGTGGTCAATTTTAAATATAATTTACTTTAACATCTGCAATAACGACAATCATTTACTAGTTCACCCCTTTTCAATAAATTTGTAGCATTTCATGACGATTTAAAATAAATTAATGAATCTAAATATTTACTTTGTTCAAGTTTTACCTGACTTGAACGTTGTTACATCTTCTGACCATGTCACGAAATTGGCTTTCATTTCCACTTCTAGTTTGTATCTTGTAAGAAACAGGTTCATATCTTTCTAACCACGGACGATTGTGAGTACTGTTCACAATAATTCGGTTCTCATTTGGAGGAGACACCTTCGAAAAGTAAAGTACAATTTGTTGTTTTCTACACTGATGGTCATGCAAAGTTTCATGCAACATATTTAAAAGTTCCCAAGTTAGTTCTACAGATAAGTAAAAAGTAATAATTTTGACATCTCGATTCAAATTTCGACTATTTAAATAAAAACTATTTTAGTAAACCATTATCATGCACTGGTTTATCCTAGTATAATTTTAATTTAGATAAGACATCGGCTTGTTCGCCAGAATCGAATCATAAAGTTGAGAGTTATCGAACCTGAACAGCACAAAAGTGTTTCGGACCAAGGAAATTCTCACACTCCTTAGCAATATCGTCCCATTTCCACTCAAAAAGTTGTACAATGACGTCAGTTCCGGGGCGGAGACAGACTTGTGTCTGATAAGTAATTGTTTCAGCAACTGACAAAAAAGCATAGGGTAGCATATGCTATTATAAAACATGAAGAATTTTAAGTGCTAGTAAATTAACGGAATGTCGAAAGAAAGTATAAATTAATACATCCAATGACTAGTTGATTTTACGTCGAAATACCCGGCTACTTGGAAGAATGTTATCCCCAGATTCCTCGCTCCACCGATATCATTTGCTTGATAACTAGTTGAAATGGTGTATATGCTTGCCTATGAAATTTCCATCATTTCAACGAGTTTCTTTCGATAAATTTAAAACCTTAGAGGTGTTTTGTTAGGCCAAATAGGATTTGGTCATCAAAATTTTGAGATAATAAAATTTTCTTCATGCTATTTATTTTTCATTAAATTTAAGGCACATCTTGCTTACAAGCAAGTCTGTCTGCCACATTTGCATATTTTGGCATTACATGTATATAGCACAGGCATTTGTTTCGTATACGGGGCACCCCTACTTATTTTTACCACAAGGTACCTAACTCAATTTCAGGCACCCCCGCTTCAAGCTCGTATTTTGTTCATATATCAATCATAAACCTACTTTAAAATTATATCGTTCGCTTCGAGAGACTTTTTTCTTGTCAAATAAATCCTTTCAGACACGAGTTCAGGTAAGATATGTTAATAAAATACCCACTTACTGATAATTTGAGCCGAAATCTGTGCGGTAGTGAATCACTCCCGCACTTGCACCATTACAGAGATCCTAAGGAGTTGTAGCCCTCTCCCCAAAAAAAAAAAAAAAAAAAAAAAAAAAAAAAAAAAAATTGGAGAGGGCTACATTATTGCAGCTAGGATGCCCCGTATACGAAACAAGTGCCTGTGGTATAAAGCGCTCGTTTGTGGAGAGCTTGCAAAGTGAAACTATGTATTTCAAATCAAATGTATCTTAAATTTCATGAAAATTCTTCAACCACACGTTTAGTGAGGAAGTTCTGTAGGGGAAAAGTTCTAATTTTCACGTTTTTGTGACTTTTGAGTATGGTATTGATCAAACTGTGTAGGTGTCACCTAAGGTTCTTACGATAGTGTACAAATGATGACTATCTGAACGGTGTTTTTGATTTGGACAAAGTTTGATCAGTAGTCTGTCTTATCCTTTTCTACGTATTATTCACCAATAGATATTATGGAAGAAGAAAGCAAACAATATAAACAAATTAACTTTAAATAAATAAACAAGTAATAGCTTTTCAAAAAGCTTGCCTGACTAATCAATCAATATCTATGGAAAGTATATGCAGGAGAGGTGCTAAACGTTTCCGTTATCAAGGAGCGACATAGTTGCGATACTTCATTATACAAGATGTACAGTTGACTTTCTCAAATTTCATAACCAAATACTACAGATTAACGAATATCTAAGACATGCCACTATTTGGGCATTTATTAGTTAGCCCACGGGCTGACTAGTTACGTTGGGATGAAACTGAAGTGCGTTAGCGTAGATTATAATCAAAGGCGGATCCATCACAGGCGCGCCGGGCGTCCCCCCCCCCCCCCGTTTGAATTTTTTGTATGTAGAACTTATATGTTCATTATCCTAAAATCAAGGAAACAACACCTCTTATTTGTAAGAATTCGTCAGCTTCCGGGAGCTTCGCCCCCGAACCCCCATCAGAGCTTTGCTCTGGACCCACTGGGGTTTCAATACAGCCCCCAGAAACCCTGCCGTCTACTGCGCCCTCCCGTTATGAAATTCCTGGATCCGCCACTGATAATTCTGGGAAAATAGTTAGGTTTTAAAGAAATTCATATTACATGTACTCTCTTACTAGATGGCGCACTTCTTCATGGTCAGTGATAGATTGATGAGACGGCCTCTATTTATAGACTGGTCTGTTTTCCGTCGTTCTCGACGACGAAGAAAATTATGAACAGTTTTAACTGGGAAACTTGTCTTGAAGTGTTTGAGACAAAAATGCTTCAATGCTACTCTAGAAATCAAAGTAAATAACCTGTACACTTTATAGCTAGCGCAAAACAAGATACTAATACCCCCCCCCCACCCCCACCCGGACAAAACTCACGCGATGATGGTCTTACCATATACAAGTACATGTATTATAAATGAGCTTATACATCTTTATATACAGTTTTGAAATTGTAAGTTTTTCTTTTCAATCGATTTCAGGACCTTTCTCATAATTAAAATAACTTGCTTTTTTATGAAATGAAAACCAGGACAGATCATGATGTCTTCTTCATTTTGCCGATTCTTTACTTTACGGGTACTGACCTACACTCTTGTCACTGTATTAAAAGGAAACCCTTGTTCATAACAAAGCTTGAAATAATATGCTACTCGTTGACTTTTAAAGATTTTTTTTAAAAAACCTTACCTTGTAACGTACATTATTAATAAATGTAATGTTGAAAGAAAGGCTAGGTGGAAAACAGAATCAAGAAGGGATGTCCCATTTACTGGGTGGAGGGAGTTTGTTTATGATTAGACTAGTCCACTTATGGAATAAATAGTAAGAATTATCAGCAAATCCATTGCTTTAGTGTTGCCTGTCCATATACAATGTGTTCTCTTAAAAAAATGAGATAAAATTTACTGTTAATAAAAATCTGGAGCTTAAGAATCATGTTAAAGGAATAAACCTTATTTATTTCCATAGAAGTTATCACACCCATTCAATAGAACAACCCAAGAAAAAGGCGCGAAGATAATTTACATGTGACACTTGGCGCGAAATGATTGTGTCACCCCTTTCGTAGAAGGCAAATGGACTGATCCAGTAGTTTAGAAACGCAGAAAAAATGTTACACGGACATGTTCGTACAAAGAATCGCAAAGAATAAATATGTGCATGCAAAAAAATTGAAGGAATTAAACACATCATTATTTTGCATCAGTTATATGATTCTTTCTTCTGCAAACTGTATTTGTTTTAATGCAGGTAACAAATTCCGATGTAAATCAGCTCGCAGAAAATCTAGTTCATTAAGAATGATCACTTAGTTTCGGATCCCTGAAATATTAATCCTTATACTGCCTGACGCACGTGGCGTCAGGCAATAAATTCCACAAAATTGCAAACAAGATTTTATTTTTGCTAAGATTGAGTATTCTCTGAAAGTGTTTTCACGATTCTTTTGCAGGGAACTATCAATACGAAATACATTGTAAATTTTAATTAACTTACAGTAAGTTTCAAATTTATTTTTCAAAAAATTATGAGACTGTGCCCCCTTTTACAAAAAATCTTACGATTAATACAAAAATATTCCCATTCCTCAAGAGGTATCCAAGTTTTTGTAGGACACAAAAAATCTTATATATCTATTATATTTAATTACATTATAGAAAATATTCAAGAAAATATAAATATTTATTTATTACAGAAAAAATACAGAGTTGTCAATTTTTTATCTTAATCGTAAGATATTTTGTGAAAAGGGCCACTGATTTGAACTCCCAGAAAATTGCGAAAAATATTGAGAGCTATTTGTTTTGCTAAGATGGGGTTATTTCTGAAAATGAGTGTTTCGTATTTATTAGCAAATTTCAATAAGATTCATTTTGAAATTCATTAATTTATTTTCTTGTTGTTGAGCATAATTAGGCCAAAATGCTTTTTATTTTTCATACAAGCAGCATTAAATTTGTTCTACATGTATTAGCACAGATTTCATCTGCAATGAGCTCATAAAATGATTTATATCATTAGCAAGTTAATGTAACATAGTAACATGGTAATGTCTTGAGCACAAAACGTTCTCCAAAGAAAAAATCTAAGTGGCAAGCCAACAATGTATATATGCATACCCAGCATTACAATACATGCATACCAACCTTTAATTAGAGCAAAAATAACGGACACCAACACAGACTTTTTTATAGAGGACATTTTTTCTAGCAGGAAGTGGAAGAAAGGTGTGTGGATTTCCTTACCTGACAGAGATAAGTTTTTTCTTACCTGTACACATCCTGTGCAACCATAAAATGTTGAACAGCAACTTGGATGGAAAAAGCTATGAACATACATAGAGGCAACATTTCCAACTGATACACGTGTGTATGGTATCATACTTTAGAAAAATTATTTATATATTAACCAAAAAATATTCCAGTGTCTAATAAATATGTATACATGTGTATGTACTCATGTACTTGAATTTAAAAAAAAAAAAAAATTGACATAATATTTATTTCAAAATAGAAATGGATTGGCCAGCAGACAATAGCTACTTACCTGAGTCTTCTCGTGATTCAAAGTATAAAGTACAAAATGAATAACCAGCAATTAAACATTGTGACATGGCCCGGCCGTACAGTAACTGCGATACAGAACACTTTTAGTGGGTATGCAAATGAGCAGAAACTGTACTGTATCTGAAAAATATCAACAATACAGTACGGTTTATTCTTAGCGATGAAGGAAAACTGAATCCGTATCTTAAATGATATAGACATAAGAATCAATCAAGTCGCATGATATAGCGCTGTTAGTATTTATTCAAAATTTGAGATAAATTGAGAATAGAATTTTACAACGTAAAGTTACCAGTGGCGGATTCAAAAATTTTAGAAAGGAGGGAGTGGGGCAGTATACAAATGGTTTTCTTCGAAAAAAAAAAAATGTCCAAACTGGAAAATCGGGAGTTTCGTGGGGGTAGAGTCATAATTAGGCCTGACACTATATGTGCGTTATCGTTTCGTGTTGATAAATTAAAAGTATATACAAGTTTAGCAAACATAATTTACGAAAGCCAAAAAAGAAAAGAAAATCGAAAAGGGAGGGATACCGACGCGCGCGAGTGAGTGCTGGATCTGCCTGCCTTTGGTTCCTCTACATTTTATTTCAAACATGAAGGTAATATGCCCCCTTTCTTACATCTGTTTATTTCAAATTGGAGCAAAGAATTTTGTATACACATGTATGACGACCGGTCGATGACATTGTCGGACATTTCTCTCAAAATACGACCTCCCCGAAACATTTTTGCTTCAATTACATTCCCATATAGGATTCTTATGTATAAAAATGTTTTGCACTAAATTCGTAGCTTAGATTTTAAAAAAATTCAGCAAGAGCTAAATAGAAAGGAAAAAACCTAAGCAATCAAATATAGGTTAAATTTTGGGAAAACACATTATATAATACATCTCATAATTATAATTATTTAAATAGATAGATACCTGCACGTTCACCTCACTCGGCATTTCAGTTGCGATTGCTAAAACTGGGTACTAAATCAACTTTCTGCAAAATCATCTGATTGGTTGAGAGATATATACCCATATACACATGTAAATTAGCGAGGTCATAAGAAAGGTCATGTCACAAGTCATTTAGAATACTCGTTTCCTACTGTATCGGAGATACAGGGCGGGGCCTGTCTCGAGCTATCGCTCTCGCCTAAGCCCCGCCCTGTATCTCCGATACAGTAGGAAACTCGTACTCTAAATATAACGTACAACAGACAGGCCATAAATTTAGAATATACTTTTTATGTATGAATTAATTTCGTTTTGAATCATATGTTTTTCTAACAACATCAAAATAAATGCGTCTATCGGAAAAAGCACATTTATAGTATTTAACACCAGAAAATAGAGAAATTAACCAATAAAAAATTTGAAAATAAATTTAAACGACAGTACAAACGTCATGAAGGAGATATGCTAACATTTTTGAAGAAACAAAATCCAAAACAATTCTTTGAAATTTTCAAAACAAAAAAGACAAACCATGTTGGCTGTAATTTAACTTTAGATTTCTTTACCCATTTTAAAAATCTTGGTTCTAACACAGGCGATAGCCTGAGAAAAGAATGTTATTTGGATGCTGTGTACGATGAGTTAGATTCAGAGATCAGTTTCGAAGAAATATGTACAGCAATTAAAAAGTTAAAAACAAATAAAGGTTTTGGTGAAGATTGTATTGTTAACGAATTGTTCATGAAATACCGCGATGAATTGCTCCCACTCTTACATAAACTTTTTAACAATATTTTTAACTCGGCTTTTGCCCTGAATCATGGTCAAAATGTTTCATTACTCCATTGCCAAAAAGGGGGACAAATACGCCGTCAATAACTATCGTGGTATATCTTAGTTGTTTTGGTAAATTTGCTTAATAATTGGATATTAGAATGGGAACATTCCTATGATATATTGACTGATGCACAGTTCGGGTTTCGTAAGGGATTGTCAACTACTGATGCTATTTTTGTTCTGCAATCGCTTATAAATAAGTACCTTTCTGCTAAGAAAAGATTATATTGCTGTTTTGTAGACTTTCAAATAGCCTTTGATTCTATTGATAGAATAAAATTATGGCAGAAATTGTTTCATTTATGCATCCAGGTAAATTTTTAAAGATAATTTAATCTCTATACAATAGTGTTAAAAGTTGTGTTAAATACAACGGTTATCTCAGCGATTACTACCACAACGACATTGGTCTAATGCAAGGAGAAACATTATCACCAATATTATTTTCACTATACGTAAATGATTTCGAGGTTGGTTTTATATCAGATAACTGTCCCTATATTGATCTGCCGATGCTAAACTTATCCATACTCATGTATGCAGACGACATGGTTATTTTTGCTGAATCTTCAGAAGGAATACAAAAAATGTTAAACACACTATGCAGTAATACTGAAGAATGGAGTCTTTCTGTTAATGTAACAAATACTAAGGTTTTGTCTTTAGAATATTGGTAATCTAAGAGAGAAATTTTTGAAAAAGTATTATTATAACAAGCCTAGTGTCTTTAAATTAATTCAACTGTTAAGTTCTGATAATACTAAAGATCTCTTAAATTTGGGCAAATTTTTGAATGCTGCCACATTGTTAAGAAAAAATAATATCGATGTACATGTATAAGACTATTTTCATGTATGTATTTTTTACGTTCACTCTCTCTGTATGATTTTGTTTTCTTTTTCTTGATAGCTTGTATTATTATTCTGATGAGCCAGTTTGCTAAAGGAAATGAATAAACTTGAAACTTGAGTGCACAAAGTAAAGTTCTTTGATAACTAGTAGACTCATTGTTCTTTGATAACTAGTAGACTAATTGTTCTCGAACAATTAGAGGTCTTTCCACCTTCTTTAGATTTCAATTTTTTCTATATTTAAATCTTAACGATTAAATTCCATGAAAAAGAAACCAGAAAACGATTGAAAGATAAAAAAAATTAAAATTCATTAAAAAAAAAATGAAATGACCTTGAACAAATATTCAAGATTAAAAGGTCAAGGGTCACATTGCAATTGGTCCCATGTTTCTACGACTTTAATTTTAAAGTTATAGGGTTAACATTAAGCGCAGAGACGTAAAGGGGCAATCACTCATATAAGGGGTCATCAGATCCTTTCGCACTGATAGATTGAAATTTTGTCTAAAAACTCTGAAGACCTTAGTGAATGATTTGTATCTCTACAGTTTACGGTTTCGCCGGAGTAGCAATAACAAGGTATATAGAGAAAGGGGCAATAACTTTTAAAGGGGTCAATCTTAGGGGAAAACAATGAAATTTTTAAAATAGATTTAAAAGGATATATTAAAGATGCAAAGATATATTATATACATTGAAAGATAATTGAAAAGAGATTTTAAAAAAGAGCTAATTTTTTTTGATATTTTGAATAATCTTGGCCTTTGACCTTGACACATATTTCAAGGTCAGAGGTCAAAAAAATTAATGCAGTTGGTTTCATGTCTCTACGATTTGTGTTTTGAAAATTTTTCATTATTCGTAAACATCAAAAACTTTCAGGGGCAATAGCTCACTCGACGAATCCTTCCGCAATGAAGAATCTCCTTAATTAGTTGAAGACACTGGTGAAGGTTCCGTACCTCTACGGTTTATGGTACGGAGGAGTAGCGATAATAAAGTTTCTCGTGCAAGGGGCAAAAACGCTGAAAGGGGTCATAGTTCATAGTAAATGCGTCAAAACTCTTCATGATTTTTAATGACCTTTAGGACGAACAAAAAATCTTTTTGATAAACCTCAAAACAAATAATTCTCGGAAGAAAAATAATAAACAGAACAATAATACCAATAGAATAATAAACAGAACGATTTCAATAGGTCTTTCCATAGAAAGGTGGAAAGACCTAATTATTTATTGAAACATGAAGTATATGAAATTTCCACAATTTCTACATGATGGGCCGATTATATAAATCTGCTCTCAAATTGCATGCAGTATTTCTAAAGTGTTGGTTATTTTATTTTCCGTTTTTTTTCCATATTCACATATTTTTTAAACAACTTCTACTTAATTTTGCTTTGAAAGGTCCTTGAGATCGTCACATAAAGGATACTTGAGTCCTAGACTATATATAGTCTTGCTTTTTTCTGCACTTAAAAATTAAATATTAAAAAATGAATTGTTATCTGAACAACATTTATTCGCTTATTTTTTTTATTTGACAGTACAACCCATGCGATCTTTGAGAAGGGTCTTAAATCTGCTTCATCTGGAAAAAAAAATAGAAAAAGAAATTAGTTTATATACGCACTAAAAATACCTATTTATTATTTCATGCAGCAAATGTGGCAAAATGTATTTCATTGCTTTACCTTATTTTTTTAGGCCTAGCAGAAGGCACTGTGTTGAGAGCGTTTGAAGAGCTTGGGATAGCTGTCTGAAACTGCTATTGGAGGAACACGAGGAGGGTATGGACCTCAAGCAAGTCTGTCCCCTTTTAGTGATCCTGTCAATTATGGCAAATAAACAGAGCTATTTACTATGGACCTTGTCTTGAATCACGAAACTGCTCAAGTTTACTTACAATGAAAAAAAATGGTGGGTATGGACAATTCTTTCTAAGAAGAAGATAAGTACGCAGTTATATTGCACTGAGGGTCCAATATCTGAGAATAATTATGTACGATATCTGTCTTGTTATAAGTCCTGAGATGCTTTACATGGCATTTCTGTAGAATACAAATGTATACTTTACCCGCATATCTTGGGCATTACGGTAAAGTCGCCAGATGCGATTCGTGATTGAAATGGCTGAAGTTCCAATGCTATTAAAGCACAGGGATACAACTGTAGAGTGCAACCTACAATGAACAATTAAGCCTTGTAGCAACTGAAGCAGTAACAGCCATTTCTTTTAAACCGCGGTTTACATATACTCTAAAAACGTATATATATATATATATATATATATATATATATATATATATATATATATATATATATATATATATATATATATATATATATATATATATATTCTGTTTCTATACTTGAGAGAAAAACTGTGCGCAAGAACAGATGAATACTTATTGAATATCGTTAGACTGAGATGGATTTTCGGATTATTAACTCACAGATATACTGCTAAGATCTGTCTATGATCTGCTACTATCACCAACAAACCTGTACAAATGGAGTCTTATGGAAAACCTGAATTATAGGAGCTTTGTGCAAAAGATGGAACTTAGAGCACATTTTGTCATGCTGCAATATTGCTCTTACACAAGACAGGTACAGGTGAACACATGACCGAGCTAATATCGTAGAAAAGAAACAAATGAAGAAGAGGCCACAGAACAAAGAAATATGCTAAAGAAGGTGCAACATTATCAATCAATAAACCTTGAAATTTATCATAAACTCAGCAGGGAGATGCAGGTAGACCATGAGTTACAACTGGTATTGTTATACATTTTATTGTGGTCCTATAACAGCAGAAAGATCCGTCATAATTGTTTGAACTAACTGTATCCTGGGAAGAGAGGTGTAAGGAGGCCTACCAGAGAAGAAAACAAAAATACAAGGATCTGGAAGGTGAGGTGGAGCGCATGCCTTGGGGTTTTGTAGAAATTGAATATAGATGATTTCCAGCACAATCCATTTGGAGAGGCATATCAGTCCTGGAAATTCAGGGAAGAACAGAAGATCTGGAATACAAAAACTATCAAACACAGCAGAGAAGTAATCTTGCTGCTTGTGGAAAGGAGAAGAACTGGAAGCCATCTACAGTCAGGCGGTGATTTAGCCAATCACGACTGACTCCCCACCCGGGGGATGTTCCAGGTTAGGAGTCGAAACAACCGACGAAGGGTGGACCTGGCTAATGATGTCTGTAGATCCAATAGTTACAACATCCTGACTGTATTAAGTCTACAATTTTTAGAACAATTACCTAGTTCTGGAAATAAATTTTATTAAGTATTTAATTGAAAAGTTCGCCGATACCCGTTGGTTAATATCGCTAGTTATGACATATATATCATACACAATATTTCTTACCTCATAAAAACAAATTACATAAAAATCCTATTTTATATCAAAACATTCTCTGGTACTCTCTCAGAATTTTATTTCCAGGAGAGTTACAGTACAGTAATGCAACTAACCAAAGCACAAGGCATCAACTTAGAGGATAAATTTTATGATCAAGAAATACATGTATTTATCACTAACCCAAAAGAAAAAAAGGCAAATATGGATTTGTTTTATTTCTTGAATTCAACAGCTAATCCCCAAGTAAACGAAAATGTTTACTTTTGTCAAATGTTAAAAGATGTAGATATTTATCCTTTAGAGTTAGAAAATTGATAATCTTCATCTTATAAAACTATAGTTGAGAAACTTAAAATACAAACACAAGCTTGCTTCTTCAACAGCAATGGAAAGGCTTTTAACATCGGAGGGAAAATGCTACTCCCAGAAAGATGAAAAAATGAAAAAAAAACAACAACAAAAACTGCAGTTGTAATTGAGGACATTTCAAAGAAATCAAACAGATTTCTGATTTACATTGTATGTGATAGAGATTATTCGACATCTCAATCTACATGTATATATTGTATATAAACAACATGGACTTTTTGATCTATTTAGAAATATTTACAGACGTATGTTAAAGATAGTGCTACAGTCTGAACACGGAAAACTGTCCCTTTTGTTACCACCTGTTTTCTTCAAACATTGCCTCTTTACACTTACAATAGTTTAATTGCATAAAAAAATCAATTTCATCAACTCTGTAAACTTTTCACATTTTCGACTTCTTCCCAAGAACCACTGGGCCAATTTCAACCAAACTTGCCACAAAGATTCCTTGGGTCAAGGGAATTCACTGGGCCAAAAAAGTTTATACGTATGTGAAACCTTTATTGAAAGCGTAGATTCAATTTAAGTTTTAACAAATCATGACCCCCGGGGGTAGGGTGGGGTGATTTCTTTAAAAATCTTCTTCCCAAGAACAGCAAGCCATGATTAGTCACATGAATATGGAAGCATCCTCAGAATGTGTATATTTGTTCAAATCATGACACCTTCGGGTAAGTTCGGATTACAACAGGATTAAAGTTTTACACAACATATAATAGAAAAAAATTTGCTGATTTAAGTTACTTAATGAGTTAAAATCATGCGTTTCTTTTAAGATATTTGTATCATAAAGCGAAAGATTTATGAAAAATATGTTAGCGAAGTTTTGGCAAACACGACTGCACTATGATGCAAGAATAGACTGCATATTATAAGTGCCGCAAAAACATAGGTTGTACAGACAATAGTAACTTCAACTTTCCTGCGCATATATACAATAAGTAGGAAGATATGAAGCAAAATTTTCGTCTTGGGGCAGACAAAATTATTTTTTTTCTCCATAAAAGTAGATTTCTTTTTATCCCAAAACCTGTAATTTTCTGAAACCTTGTACTTTCAGGAATTGAAAGAAATTTGAAAGGTCGTTTCACAATTCTTTTTTTGTCGATGTTTCTGTTTTTGCTTGACGGTGTCGCTTTCAGAACAACAGTGTCATATTGAATCGGTGAGTGTTGTGGTCCATGGGTCTGTTTATTTTTTATTTATTTTTTTTATTGGTGAAGGGCGAGTTGGTCTATATCACATTTCATTTTCGTCACCAAAATTAGAAAAAAAATTGTCGAAGCTTTATTCTTTGTTACCGCGGAATATTGCATTTTTTTTGTCTGATATATTTTCTAATGGCGATAGTTAGCGGTATCAGATATTAAAGGCAGAAAACTTTAAAAAAAAAAAATAAAAATACAAACCATCTGGCGCCGACGTCACCTTCTCGCTTACAACAGCAATCAACAGACACACAAGAAGTCGTTTTGCGAACATTTTCAACACAGATTTTATGTTGCGAAATACTAGTCAACTAATGCTCTTCTAAAACGTTTTTATACTTTTATGGCTGGATTTGGAAATACTTGTGTAAATTGAGTTTGAAAATTATTGAAATTAAACCCAGAATAATCATTTCAAAAGGTCATGTAAATTGTGAATTATTTTTCCTCATTATAACCCCCGTTTAGAAATAATCACACTAAATTTCAAAGTGTTTAAATTAATGATCTAAATAAGCAGTGAGTACTGATGAATGTTCCGACATTTGACGATCTCAACATACATGTATACCTTGTTTATGTACATATGCCCTCAGTTTTGAAATCGGAGACGATCTCGAATGAATCAAATAACATTTGAAATATATTTACGACTACTGAATAATATTCTCCTTTATTTCTTATAAAAAGCACTGTCTTCATTTTCTTACTCCGGTAACGCTTCTAAAGTCTAAACTAACATTTTTTTTCGTTTAAAAAGTGGGCTATTTCATCAACGAAACATAGATGGTGTACAGATCAATAAAACAATATTTTACGAACTTATACCTACTTTGCACGGTAAATTATACCGACATAAATATATATGATAATTCTTTGTTTGTTGGTATACATTTATTGACTGTAGTCGAGGGCAATATGCATTTTGTTGGAACCAAGAACTAAACTGTTTGCCTGAGGCCGTGAGGCGAAGGCAAGCAGTTTGGTTCGAGGGGTCTAAACAAAGCATTTTGTTCTAGAAACAGTCAATGACCCCCTTTTTTAATACCTTTTACTTTTTTTTAAATATCTTGCGCTGACTTCCATGTTTGTGATGTAAATTTTGTTTACGCTCTGTGGATTTCACTCGGTCATTTCCGTAACTATCGAACACCAACGGAATAAGATATAGTTGATCCCGCCTAAATTGTGATGTAAAAACGTCATAGCAGTCCAATATCTCATCGACAGGTCCAATATCTCGCTCAGCTGTCCAAGATCGATTGGGAGGGGGAGGGGCTCAGTAAAACATTGGCACTTTTTAGCTCACCTGAGCCGAAGGCTCAAGTGAACTTTTCTTCCCTAGAACCACTGGACCGATTCAACCAAACTTGGCACAGTGTATCCTTGGGTAAAGGCAATTCAATGTTTAAATGGATGGCTACACCCTCTCCAGAGGGGAGATAATTAGGAAATAATGAAAATTGGGTGGAGTCATTCAAAAATCTTCTTCTCAAAAAACTACTGGGCCAGAAAAAAAGAAATATAAAAAATTAAAAATTATATGACAAATTATATGAAAGCTTCCAGATAGTGTAGATTCAAATTTGTTCAAATCATGAATCCCGGAGGTAAGGAGGGGCCACAATGGGGGATCAAAGTTTTACAAAGGAATGTATATGATTTTTTAAATATATTCTTCTCAAGAACGACCGTTCACGGTAGCTCAGTCGGTAGAGCGCTTGCTCCGTGATCGGGAGGTCGTGAGCTCGAATCTCGGCCGCGACTGACCTAAGTCGATAAAAAATGGGTAGCAACTGTTCCTTCGCCATATGCTTGGCACTTTGAAGTAAAAGTTGCGGGTCCTTCGGATGAGACCTTAAAAACCGAGGTCCCGTGTCACGGCAGGCGTTGGCACAATAAAGAACCCTCACTGCTCAATGGCCCTGAGTGCCGAGTAAAGGTCGAAATTTGAAGCCCTTCACCGATATATGGTGACGTCTCTATATGAGTGAAAAATTCTCGAATGGGGTGTAAAACAACATACAATCAAACAATCTTCTCAAGAACAGCAAACCCATGATGAGTCATATTGATATGGGAGCATTCTCAGGTGGTGTAGATTCAAATTGTTCAAATCATGACCCCCAGAGGTAGGATGAGGACAAAGTGGGGGTCAAAGTTTAATGCAGCAATGCCATGATTAGTCATATTGATAGGGAAGCATCTTAAGGTAGTGTAGATAGAAGTTTGTTCAAATCATGACCCCAGGGTAAGGATCAAAGAATTACATAGGGTAAAAAGAATACATAGGGTAAAAAAAAAAAATCTTCTTTCCAGGGACAGCAAAGGCATGATTAGTCATATTTATATGGAAGCATCTTCAGGTATAGTTTAGATTCAAATTTGTTCAAATCATGACCCCCTGGGGAAGGAAGGGGCCACAATGGGGGATCAAAGTTTTACATAGGAATATATTATAGTAAAAATCGTTAAAAATCTTTTCAAGAATAAAAAAGCCATGATTAGTCATATTGAAGCATCCTTAGGTAGTGTAGATTCAAGTTTGTTCAAGTCATGACCTCCGGGTTTAGGATGGGGCTACAATGGGCGTTCAAAGTTTTACTTAGGAATGAATATATATATATAGAGAGAGAGGGGGGGGGAATCTGCTGATGAAATGCTGATGAAAAACGGAAGGGCGAGTGTGACTCGGGTGAGCCCATGTACCTCTTGTTTTATATAGATTTATATAAAAAAAAAATTTTTAAACGTATAACAATGCAGAATTATCGCAGTTGCAACCATTTCAGGGAAGAATGACATTTTACAATGTATTTTTATGAATTTTTCTGCAATAATTGCAACCGTTAATTGAAACAAAGTATTGCATTGCGATTATCAATAAAAAGTGACATTGTTCGGTGTTATTAGGTGTTATAATATTAGGTGTTATTAGGTGTAATTTTTTCATGTATATATAATGACTGTTCAGTTTCCTAAGACCCCTCTGCATTTATTTTTGCAATAATAAAATGTGAGGAGGGTCCCGGAACCTTACTATCAAAATACTAATCTTCCTACAGTCAATAAAACAATGACTACATTGATAAAGTCAACGAGGAATTTCAGCGTCTTTTTAATTTCAAATTCAGAGTACTTGTATGTAGAATTAGAATGATTTTAACAAAGTGATTGTTAATGACCAATCAAGATAATTCCGTGTTCATTATTTATAGAAAAAGCAATTGAATAATGTTAAAAGGCTAGGTCTTTAATTTATCGTGAGGAATAATAGTTGTATAATTAGTGAAGAGATGTCTTACTTTATCAGTTATATACGATATATATAATATATTTGCTAAAACTCTTGAATAATCCATTCTGACAAATATCGAGGACTTTCCTTTCATATTAATTAAGCCCCTCAATCTATATTGTCCATTGTCTGTTACTTTACATGTATATATGTTATACCTTTATGCCCATTTTGACCCTGATTTGCTAATAATAAATCCTTTATCGTCTGGCTACTCCTCGACGGAAATCATAATTTAAAAAATGGTTTTATTTGCAATCAGCTTTCTGAACTTTGGACATTATTTTGCTTACATGGCCGTAGGAGCCGTCCCCCCCCCCCCCCCAATAATTTTGCCGATATATATAGAGTACTATAGAAAATATAGATACTATATATGCTTGTGTCCCCTCAATAAAAACGTCTGATGACCTTTTGACCTTTTTTTGCTTGTCAATGAATTTTTGGTTGTTGATAGTGCCCCCTCAGCTGAAAATGTATGGCTGTGCCCCCCCCCCCCCAACTGAAATTGCTTCCTACGGGCCTGGCTTATGCTTACAGTCTCAGGTGAATGTAATCATTTTCTCATTTTTGAAAAGTCACAGGTAATGTTATATTGGGAAAAAAACTGTATATGTTTATATCAGTGCACATGTTTGTCAAAATGTTCATCAATGACTGAGGCAAATCGTAATCCTGGACCGAATTATTTTGTCTATGCTCTACCTGTGAATCATAGGTCACGTGACAGGAAGAGAAATTGTTCAAAACAAGGAATAAGTCGCGATGGGGCGACTGGATAGTACTTTTGTTTTTATGCTGTCAGTATGTTCTATAGTTAATTGTTTTCAAAGAGATCGTAAGTATATATATATTGAATTTAAATACATAAAGATTCTTTTAAAATTATTGTTAGTCGATATGCTAATTACAGGTAAGTAGTTTCACCTGTGCAGGTTAGGTTTGAAAAATGGCGTCATAATTTGGGGGAAAAAAATCCGGAAATAAATTTTTTAAAATTCCATTTTACTTTATATTTTCTATAATTGTTTCTTAAATGTTTCTTTGATCATCGAAAATTACTGTAATTGGTTGAGATATAACCTGTACCTGGAAACCCATACGTTCAGAACATCAGGTCCGTGTTAGGAAAAAGGGGGGGGGGGTCCTACATGTGCATATTTTACTATTACAGCTCAAGCCGTGAGTTAAAAACTGACATCAATGAGATTTTACCTAATTTCAAATTAAATTCATGCATACATTTCAGTTTCTAATTAGTGTGCACATGTGCATCTGTTGAGTAGGCAAATTACATAAGGCACATTTTAGACAGGTCCAGTCCAAAGACTTTTTCTACCTATGTGGCTATTAATAGCTACGTAGGTATTTAAACCTACCCAAAGTAGCTATTTTTACCTACTTTATGCATTACTTGCATTTTGTGGCCAAACAGCCGAAAGGTGCAACATGGTGAGTACCAAATTTCTTGATACAGTCACACTGATGATGAATACAACAAAATTTTTTACCAAAAAATGATTAATTCATAAATTAACAATTTTGCATAGTAATCAATGCAAAATTGTTAATTTACGACATAATCATTTTTTGTCCAAAATTTTGTTGTATTCATCATCAGTGTGACTGTATCAAGAAATCTGATACTCACCATGTTGCGCCGTTCAGCCGTTTGGCAACAAAATGCAAGTAATGCAAAAAGTAGGTAAAAATAGCTACTTTGGGTAGGTTTAAATACCTACATAGCATAAATTGCTACGTAGGTAGAAATAGTCTTTGTACTGGACCTGTTAGATGCAGCTTTGACTTACTACATGTATATGAAATTCAGTACACAAATATGTAGCATTATAATTTACAATGTGCTAGTACTGTAATTTACTGCAATATATAAGAATTTTGCATGAAAGTACACCAATCTTATGATCATAATGATAATTCAAAGCTTTATACACACAAATGTAGTTGTAAAAAAATAATAATCCCGGTAACTGAGAAAATATTACAAGACATTCAGTGTAGTTCAAGAAGTTGTCCTTTTCTGAGTCATAACTGCATTTAAAAAGGCAACATTGAACAACTTTACTTACCACACTTGTTTTTGTAGCGACACCATACAGAGATTCTGACTGCCCCGAGGGCACCCCTGTAGGACTAGGTGTAAACAATGGTCGTAGAGTTCCAGACAGTGCCTTTACTGCCTCATCTTCTCATACTAACAGAGATCCAGCCAAGGGACGACTAGATGAACAAGCTGGTATGAATTATCTGATGAATTTGATATGAAAAACAGATTTTTAAAAAATAATAAAAGGAAAATTAATTATTAAATGTGTTGGGGGTTGAGGGCTGTTAAGTGTCCATTTCCAATTGTTCTTTGATTTACTGATATGAAATTTTTTAAAGTAGTTTTGGGCAGTTTTTGTACATGAACTTGTCAGATAACTTAAGTATTAAAACCATTATCAGGTGCTTGGACAGCAAAGGTGCAGGATGCCAGTCAGTGGCTTGCAGTGGATTTAGGACGTGAATATGTAATCACAAAACTTCAGACACAAGGTCGACAAGGGTCTGGGGAATATGTCAGTGAATATATGTTTGCTTTCTCCAATGACGCAATTACGTGGCGATATTATACCAATGAATTTGGAATTAGAGAGGTATGTATACTGTAGTATATTTAAAATTCATTTTTATTGAAATTTTAAAAATTTCTTGTAATATCTAAGGATTTAATTTAGGAAAATTGTCAAAAAGTTTGATATTGATTTGCTGTTTATTCAGATGTCAAAAAATGGAATGATTTTTCAAACAAGAACACAGGATCTTTTATAATATTTGAAGAAGGCATAGTAATAACTAATACATTTGATGTGAAAAATTTTTCTGTAGTCATGGCTGTTATATTTTTTTAATAATTCATATGTGCGTTTTTTTTTTCATAGATGTTTGTTGGAAATATTAATTCTCAAGACACGGTTACACGAGTTCTTAAATACCCTGTAATGGGTAGATATGTCAGATTCCATCCTCAGCGCTGGGTAGAAATTATTTCTCTTCGGCTCGAAATCTATGGCTGTCCGTACAGTAAGTCAATATGTCACAATTTTTTTTTCAAATTAACAAAGGTAAAATTCCCAAATCTTATACTTTAGGTAGTAAGACGAAAATTGGACTAAGTCTGTGGATATAGATGTATATTCATTTTTACATTATTTGTGAATATAGATTGAATCCTTTCTTGAGTTTGAAGAAAAATTATTTTTCACTTTCTAGCCCCGGAAGTGGCCCGGTTCAGTGGGGAGGGTTATATCCATTATGATCTGTCAACATTAAACCCCCCTCCCAGTACCACATCCGATCAGATAAAACTGCGCTTTAAAACCAGCAACCAAAATGGAGTCCTTCTGTATGCTGATGGTAACCAAGGAGATTTCATTGCTTTGCAGCTTCACAGAGGAAATTTGCTTTTCAGTATTGATCTAGGTATGTCAGCCATTTTCTCTGTCTGTAAGTAATGCTAATATACAATATTGTCCAAATCAATATATAATGTAATGTCAGATTGTTACTTGATTATAAATTCTGGAAAAATTGTCTTTAATTTATAATTCTTTGAATAATTTGCAGAGTTCTCTGTTGCACACTACTGTTTTAGCATTGATTGATTATTGTCATGTTACAAGGAAATCTGGATTGTATAGAATCTACATGTCTATTCTTAATTTAGGATCCACCCAACTGCAGCGTGGATTGACTCAGCAAACGGGGGGCAGTTTATTAGACGACAGTCAGTGGCATGACGTCATCATCAGACGTAATCACACGAAGATCACCTTAGTCGTAGATAGGCTGGAGACACATTTCGAGACCAATGGCCTCTTCTATAGACTTAACTTGGATAAAAAGGTCAGAGAGAGCTTTATATTTGAACAATGTCTGAACATGAAAATATTTAACATTGTATGAAGACCAGTAAGAGAAATATTTATTTTGTGATAGGTAATTTTGGTAAGATATTGGGCAAATGCATTTTTGTAAAATATCAAATGTGTAAAGTACATGTATATTTTATTAAAATGTTTAGTTTAATTTTTGCTTAGAAAATAAATTTTTATACTAGTACAATTATTCACCATTGAATATTGGCATCATTTAGCATTTTTGTCATACAAAATCCTGATAGTGCTGTGATGTAATATGTTTAATTTTATTTATCGCTCTCATTTATGATAAATATTAGATGTATAACTGAAAGATTTTTCTAAGCTCTGGCAAGTAATAAATGATAACATGCAGTTAAACATGTAAAATATGCAGTGACCTTTTAATGCAGGTTTTCAAGAACCAAATCAGTTGAACAGAGGCAGTTTCCCCTGGGAAATGTGGTCATTTCCCACCAAAATTGATTATATTTTGCCAATTATTTTAAGATTTCAATGTAAAATTCTTCCCAAAATTGATGAAAAATGGATGATTGTATAATATGGATGAAAAGCACTGTAATGTTTAATATCTTAAGTATATTTTAATTATTCTCTTGTAGATATATTTGGGAGGATTGCTGACTTTTAACATGAATGGTATTACTGTAAAATACAACTTTGATGGTTGTTTGGATAATGTTGTGTTTAATGGAATCCGTATGATCAGGGACACAAAGAATGGATTTCAGGGGTTCTCTATGGTTGGGGTGATGCCTGACCCCTGGAACTGCAAGGTAACTAGAATTCTACCTGAATCCAGGTACCAAGCAATAATTGATACAAATGTACATTTGTAATGAATAGGGAACCAAATATTTAGAGAGAGTTCACTTCTCCCCTGGAGAGAATTTGAAATTTGGGAGTTTTTACCCAGAAGTACAGATTTTGAAACCCATTTGTATTTTTTATGTCCCACCCTGAATTTGGCTGGAGCTTATAGTATTTGTCATGTCTTCCTTCTTTCCATCCTTCCGCTTGCCTGTCCTTCACACTATGTGTTAAGCTCAGTTTTAAAAAAAAACTGCTCAATATATCTTTATCAAACTTCATAAGTAGATACATATTAGTTAGAGCTATTCAACTGCATCCAAATATTTTTGACTTTGACCTTCCCTTTGACCTTGACATCACTTTTCTTAACTTTGCATTAAGCTCAGTTTCTAAGAAACTATCAAGATATTTTTGTCAAACTTGTATGCTGATACATTTTATTGAGTGCTATTCAACTCCATTAAAAAAATTTGACCTTTGCCTTCCCTTTGACCTTATAATTCAAAATATTGATATCGTAACACATACACTGACACATTTTGGTGAAAACTATTCAACTGTGTCCAAAGTTTTTACACATTATTTATTGTTTTGAAAAACTTAGTTTGAAAGAAACTACTGTGGAATCATCATTGTTCATGGGGGACCAATGTTCATGGATTTTGTGGTTTACCCTTACCCACAAAATTACATCCCCACAAACGTTAATTTTGTCAGCATATTAAGTCATTGAATCTACCGTTTAAATGAGTTACCCACAAAATCATGTCCCCACGAACAAGTACAATTTTGCTTGCCCACGAACATTGGCCACAACAAATTAAAATGATTCCACAGTATTCAAGATATTTTCATCAAACTTCATACACTTTACAATTTGGTGAGAGCTGTTCAACTGTGTCATAATTTTCTGACCTTTACGATAACAATATTTTGAATTATAAGGTCAAAGGGAAGGCACTGCACATCGGTCAGGTCTGACGGTCCGATGTCTTTAGCATAGACTGTGATACAAACCAAAAAATTGTTTGTAAATGATACAAATTCAAATTTCTAAAATATTAAGAAATTGTAAACTTTCTATTATTTTCAAAATTTTGTATTTCTGAAATCGCCCTAATAAATGATTAAATCTATACAACTTTTTATTACTTTAAAGGACATTATTGTGAAACTTTGAATGAAAAATTAAAATCAGTTTGGTTAATCTTCTTCATTTAACTTCTATAAATATGACTTTAATTGTTATTTTCATGATTTTTGACAAAAGTTTGTATCGTATGTCCTTAATGTATGTATTTGAATATTAAGAAATAATACTGGCATTGATGTAAATTTAATCAGCTATATGACCTTTCCTTGACTGTAATGACCTTTCCCGGACAGTAATGACCTTTCCCTGATTGTAATATGGACATATTGTTATTGCTCTCTATCAAAATTACTGCAATTGGTTGAATGACCACTTATTTTAAGTGTCTGAAATTGCATGAGAAAATAACTAACACCACAGTTACAACATTCCTGTATGCAGTTATAAAATAATATTGATGGTCATTTTTTGAACATGTTGCATTTATCATTTATGGTCCAAATATTTAGCTCTTCTGAACGAACAAAGAGCTAATGCTAGGCCTGGTGTATGGTGTTTGTAAACTTTTTGGAATGTGGTCCATATCTCAAGAACCCCTTGGCAATTTATTTCTATCAAATTTGCCATGGAGTATCGTCAAGCCAAGGGCTTTCAGATAATACTAATAATAGGGATATAATCCTTAAACAAGGGGAGATAATTTTAAAAAAAAGTAGTGGTTGCTAAAAAATCTTTTCTTGAACCACTGGGTGGATTATCACCACACGAGAGGATTTATCAAAAATTAAAAATTATTCAAGGCATCACTTTAGGGCAGATCTCTTAATATCTTTGTTACACAGATGTTTAGACTCATCTTTGTCAGTTGATGTCGTGTTTTAATTTGTGGCATTCAGATATGTTGACCTTGAAGTAGGTTAAAGTGACCTACTTTATTTTCTGAATCTTATGGCTTGACATTTTGAAATCTTTTTATGCACATGTATATATTTTGAACATACTGATGAGTACCAGTAGGCTCACAAATCTGTAAAGGTAGTGCACCTTGGAACACAGGGATGTGTCAATCCAAAAGTAGGTCACAGTTTTAAATTTTGAATTTTATCATTATTGACTTTTTTTTTGGCTTGGAGACTAAGATACTTAGAATCCTCAAAACCTGTCAGTTGATATACCTTTAAGCCCCAGGATAAGTTGACCCAAAAGTAGGTCAAAGTGATGATGGTGTACACTTTCTCTGAAGAGTGTGTTTAGGCCCTTGGACCTCTCGTAGGATATGGTTTTTTGTGGATTTCTGCTGAACTTTGAGAACTAAATATGTGAAAATGACTAAGTGAATGTAAATTTTGTAAATTGGGCAACTCAAATATAATAAGTTTAATACCTGTTGAGCATCTTTAACTGTTGCTCTATAATGTTCTTTACAAAGGGGAGAGTAACAGTATGTTTTTTCAAAGACTCTCAAAGCCTGTAAACTGACCAAGTTTTTAACATGAAAAGATTTAGAAGCTCATCATTCGTAAATTATAATAACTTTTGAAATAAAAACCTGATTCTTGTAGATGATAGCCCCAATGCCAGCAACTTTCTTTTCTCTGGATTCCTATATCCTTACCACAAGTGATGCAGGGGGCAATGCCTTCAGAGTCCGTTTTGACTTCCGAACCCATGATGAAGATGGAATTCTCTTGTATCACGAATTCCAAACAGGGGGCATTTTCAGGGTAAGAGGCTTGGGAAAAGTAATTTTTTACAAAAATATTTGGGTCATTTTGGATTTTGTCACAATTCAGGCACTGAACATTCTTAAAATATATTGTGGAGATTTTTTGATATATCAGTTATGTTTTCTGACTGTTGTTTTCATGTTGCATTACTATATAATTTAGAACATATTTATGTATTTGAAGGCTTCTTTGGATAAAGATGGATACGTAAACTATGAGCTTCAAGATGCAAATGGGCAAAAAATAGAGGACAAAGTTAGAAACAGTAAGTCTGAGTGGGAAAAATCAGATTTAGAGCTGATGACTTTAATTTCATTGTCAAGTGATGAAAGTTATACATGTACTTGCAAATTTTTATTTGTTACAGTAGTCTTATATAAATAGAATAAAATGTTTGGCCAGCCCCAGCTGGAGAAAAATGTCTTCTTTTTTTTTTTAGAAAAAATTAAATTGCAACTCTACATGTACATGTATGAATACCCAAAACTGCATATTTTTCTCACAATAAGGCATAAACTGTTTTCCTGAATACCTAAAAGTCTTTAGAAAAAAGATCATGTGAAATAGCCAATTTTTTCTTCGAAAAAAGTTAAAATATTGATATCAGGCTTGGATTGCTTAAAATTATTCCAAAATATGGTTCTCTATTGTAGTTTTTTTCTTGGCATTAAGTGTCAGATAACTTCATTTAATGTCATACTGCAGCACAGCAGTTCCAGGTACTGTGGTCATTTACTCTAAGTTGTGCATATACAAATAGGTCACAACTATAAAGGTCAGGTTGCTGGCTTGTACATTATACAGTTTTGGACTGGGGTTGAGGGCAACAATTGATTTATTAGACCGATGTGCAAACTGTTGAACAAGGCCGAAAACCAGGGGCAACAGTTTGCGTGCTCACCTGTCCAGCAGACTAACTGTTGCCCAGAACCTGTGTCAACAGCTGTTTTGTTATACCCATATAATTAAAACTTTAAATCAGCATTGTAATAAGTATTAAATCAGGAATTTTTTATTTGTACCACTGTAGTTCTTAAAGAAAATGTCATTTGCTGTCCTAAATGTGCACCATTTATTATGTAAACATATTTTTTGAATAATTTTGGTAATCCATATCATATCGAAACCATATATTGACTTTCTTTGTATAGAGTTAGATAGGTTATATACTAGGGATATAACAAACATAGATGTGAAATTCTTTTTCTAAAGAATTTACAAGTTTCAGCAGTGATAATGAATTTGGAATAATTAGTGGAAAGACTTTAAAGTAGATTTATTTTACTGACACTCATGCTTGCAGAACAGCAGCATAATTTTTAAACTGTAACCTGACATCATTGTTAATTTCCTTTAACAGCGGCCCTGGAGTACACCAGTAGTTTTTCAGATGGTTTATGGCATTCTTTCTCAGTGGTGGCTAACCAGGAAATGTTAAATGTCACTGTTGACCAGAACTCTAAGGTATCCAGTAGGAAACTGACTCTGGCGTCTGGTTCTGATTACTACATAGGTAAGTTATCTCAAGCCATACATATCATGCATTTAAATGAATTATGGTTCATTCCTTCATCCACTCTTATAAAATTTTGCTTAAACACTAATGATTTTTCAAAAGAAATATAATTCACAGTTAAATTTTACAATTTTATAAAGGAATAAAAGTCATCAATTCCAGTGAGAGTTGTCTCTCATCTCAGAGGGTTGATGAGCCTTAAATTGTTTTAAATGGTTTTGAGATTGACTGTGTTATAATTTAGAGCTCCTGCTCTGAGATTGACTGAGATATTATAACTGACTGAGAGACTGCTATTCTGAGATAGACTGAAGTTTTGTTTATAAATCATTGTAGGTGGCTATACTATTGGAATAAGCTTCCGTGGGTGCATAAGAAACATTGTCCGAGACTACAAACCCCTGGATTTAAAGGGAACTGACTTCACTAGTAAAGACATTCAAGTGGGAACATGCGGGTTAATTGACAGGTTTGTGAAAACATGGGAAATAATTTAATCCTACAGAAAGCACCACTGGTTTAGCACAACCTCTGTGGAAAAACAGAATTCTAGATAAAACTTATTTTTTTCCGATTCCCCTCAACGATTCTTAAAGATAATTTAACACTCTCCTGAAACAAATTTATTGTTTTCTATGGACAGAACAAACTTTATTTTTTGTTTTAATAAAGATTTCACTCTGTAAAATTTAATTACTTTAGTTGGCTTAATGATGATTTGTCCACTTTGAAATCCTTTTCATTGAATACATATGTTTTTTAAGGTGTACACCAAATCCATGTGAAAATGGGGGAGTGTGTGATCAGGATTGGAATACTTTTACCTGTGACTGTGGAACTTCTGGCTATGAGGGCGCAGTGTGTCATCGATGTAAGTCCACAGACAAATTAATTAAATTTGATAAATTCAGGAGAAAAAGGTGATTTAATTGTTATTTTTATCATTTTAACCATTACCCTTATTACATCTGTGATCAAAAAAATGAGAGGTAAAATTTATGACTTGAAGGGGAGTTTAATGCATGCAGTAAAACTCAGTGTTGGTTTGATCAAATTCTTTTTTATGACATTTTTCTCTTTTTTTGTAAAACTGTTTTGGTAAATGAATCGGTAGTGGTAAACAAATCACACTAATTTCACGATGTGAATTTAGAAAGTTTTCAGGTAAAAGACCCGAAAACAGTGTAAATGAGTACATGCATGCGTATGTTAATGTGTTAGAAGTTTAATATGACGTAATATCTATTTATAGCCTCTTACTATCTGTCCTGTGATATGCACAAAATGTATACATCTGACGAGAACGAGGAAAAAACCTACCTAGACCCAGATGGATCAGGGCCTTTGAAACCTTTTCAGGTGCTCTGTTCAGGAAAAGGTACCTTAAAAAAGTTTATACTTATCTCATCCTGTAATTGCAGTGTATCAGAAAAGTTTGTAGCACACTGAGTCAGTTTTAGACATCACAATAAAATTGCATTTATAATTATGCTATACAGATAATATATGCTAAGAATAGTACTTGACAAAAAAATCTTTCAATTTAGTTGAGCTTGGAAAAGAAGTGGTGACGAAAATTGGCCACAATAGTGAGGATCTAATCACAGTTAATGGTTACCAGGCACCAAACTTTTATGTTCGACAAATTGAGTATGACGCTGACCTTCCAGAATTAACGGCTTTGATTGAGCGAGCTGCCACATGTACTCAGGGTCTCTCCTACAAGTGTCGCAATTCTCGACTTCTCATAAGTCCAGGAAGTAAGTGGGCTGTGTTCATTTCTTATTATCTTTTCAGTAAATATGTAATATTTTGTAATAAGCATACTTTCACTTGATTCAGACATTGAACAATTAAATAAGTATCTTAATTCATGCGTATTTAATTAATTGTAAAAAGATCTGACCTATAACTCTATTTAGGAAATAAACACATAATAAAAAGGGTTTCACAATGCAAAGCAAAGAAAAAAAAAGCAACACTAATTTGAGAAAAACAGTGATATGGTTAGTTTGTAATACATGTATGTGTGATATGAGTATTTTATGCAATGAACACTTTTGTACAATGTGCTATGAACTCTTTAGGTGAAGCACCAGAGTATCCACACTGGGGTTGGTGGGTTGGCAGGACTTACCAACCCATGTACTACTGGGGAGGAGCAGCCCCAGGGTCAGGAAAATGTGAGTGTGGTCTGACAGAGGTTGGCTGTGCGGGAGGGCAGAAATTGTGTAACTGTGATTCACAACTCAATGAGACTGATGAAGGACAGATCCAACACAAGGACTACCTGCCGATTCTTGAGCTTCACTTTGGAGATACGGGAACAGCTGTGGATAATAAGATTGGATATCATAAAGTGGACAAATTGGAATGTCGAGGCGACAGTAAGTAACAGACAGTTAGAATGTCGAGGCGACAGTAAGTAACAGACAGTTAGAATGTCGAGGCGACAGTAAGTAACAGACAATTGGAATGTCGAGGCGACAGTAAGTATCAGACAGTTAGAATGTCGAGGCGACAGTAAGTAACAGAAAGTTAGAATGTCGAGGCGACAGTAAGTAACAGACAGAATGTCGAGGTGACAGTAAGTAACAGACAGTTAGAATGTCGAGGCGACAGTAAGTAACAGACAGTTAGAATCAGATAAACATCAGTTAACCCTTGCACCAAAGTTTTGGAACTACTACATCTCTTAAGAAAATATATGTACAGGTATCTGTGTTAAATTCAAAAAGTCAAAACCTATTGAAGCTGTTGAGCATTTGTCTAGTGAGTCCCTTAATCCCCCCCCCCCCCATTGTTGCATATATATATTTCTAAGGAATTTTATGCTTGTTTTGCTGATAAAACTTTAACTGTGTAATGAACTAAAATGAAAATGAATTAATGTAAATGGTTGCTTTTTTATAGACTTGCTGGACAATGTCATTACATTTAGAAAGGCCGATGCCTCTATACATCTGTCAACTTTTGAGGCTGAACCCTCTGGTGATATCTGGTTACAGTTTAAAACTACAGCTTTTGATGGAATAATGGTGCATCAGTCTGGAAAGCCAGATTTTATCAAAATAGCTATTGCAAGTGAGTATTTTGTTTTAGTTTGTATTAAGCATTAAATAATTGCAACGTTCCTTATGTCGATTGTCTATTGTCATCAGCGCTTCATTGTTTTTGTAAACTTTTTACATTTTTAAATTCTTCTTAGTATTTTTGGTGAGCATTTAGGCCCATGAGCCTCTGGTTCAATTTTCTTTTTTGGTGCAGCATAGATCTTAAGGCAATGAATTCCTACTGGTTTCTTTTTGCTTTGACAGTTATGCATCTTGATTTTTCCTGTTTAAATAGTGCTGAATGAATTCAGAGTACATGTTTTCATTAATGATCTTATTATTTTGTAACAATAAAAAAAAGAATAATCATGAATTTATTTCCTCTCAGATGGCAACACTATCCAGTTTAGCTACGATGTTGGAAATGGTGCCCAGGTCATTGAGTACCGATCCACAAATGCTCTAAATGATGACCAGTGGCACACAGTCCACGTAGAGAAGAACAGAAAGGAAGCTTGGCTGCGTGTGGATAACTTTCCAGCGCAGACATCACAGGAGGGAATAGGAGAGAAGACCAGGACTCTAGATCTAACTGGCTACCTCTTCATTGGTAAGTAGGCCTTACAGTTAAAATGAAGTTTATCTGTTTTCATTCTTTTTACTTGTGACTTTATAAGAGGTTCACCTGTTTTCATGAATAAATCATAATTTATTATCAGCTATATACAATGAGGTACATTGTACAGTGTATTTCAAAAGACTCATGTACAGTTTTCAATTTGAAAATTTTACTCATAAGCCACCTTCAGAAAAGTGTGATGTATTAGAAAGAATTTGGGAGTAGTAGTTTGATATTGGTACATAAGATTTTGCATTATCAGTTGTGACATTACAGCATGTTTTTTACTTTCCAGGTGCCAGTGTTGAGGACAGAAATGGTTATGTGGGGTGCATGAGGGGCCTGAGGATCAATGGTGTCCTCCAGGACCTGAGGGGACTTGTACATAGAGAGGAGGTCACCTATGGGGTGTCTGAGGGCTGTGTTGGAAAATGTGCCAACCAGATGTGCTTCAATGGGGGCACCTGCATTGAGGGCTACTCTGGATACACATGTGACTGTGCTTACACACCATTTAGAGGCTGGAACTGTGGTCGAGGTAAAGAAAACCCGGAAATTGAACTATTACTGTAAGATTTACTTTTAGGGGAATGTCTAGGGACCCGGGGATTTAGTTCCTCATGTTTACATAAGGAAGTTTTTAAGTATACATGTACATGCTCATGTGTATTAATTAGTGTACTTAAAAGAAGTATTCAAAGATACCTTCATTTAATGTTGATATCTGTAAATGTATACATTTTGTAATCAAACAATTCATACACTCTGATCTATTAAAAGACCATTTTACTTGTATGTACTGTAAATGTACTGTAAATTGCTTTTTGTTTACAAGAACTTGAGTGTAGATTACATATAATAACCAGCATTCGTAAAAATTTTGTCCCGCTTATAAAAACAAAGTACCTATCTCATGTAAATAAGGTTTTGCGAAAATTTGGTGACCTACAGTATGTTAAGAAATAAAAAAAACAAGGTAGAAAAATGACAATTCCCAGTGAACAGATTTCTTCATAGATGATCGATGAATAGATAAGAAATTATTAATAGTAAATATATGTAAGTAAAAAAATACTTTTTAAGTTTTTGTTTTATATGATGAATTTTACTGCCCACGAGCCATTGGGCATACAGCATTTATTTTGTTATAATCATAATTAAATTGTTTTTTATAGAGGTGGGTGTGAATTTGCTGAAGGAGTACATGATTCAGTATGAGTTTAGCAATCAGCAGGGTCTCTCTGCCACAGACTTCATGCATGTAAGAGTGGGATTCACCACTAAAAAGAAACAGGGTATCTTGCTGCAGCTTCAGGATGCCACAAATACAGAGTACATCTCCCTGGAGGTGAACAATGCTGGTACGTATAATAGATCGTACAGTTCAGTGACCAAGGGACACAAACTGGTGACTGGTCATATTCAAAAGTTAATATATGGTTTGGATTGATTCATTTTAGAATTTAATTTTTTATGCCAGTATTAAGATCTGAATTTTTTTTTCAAACTGAGTATAATTAATTTTCAAGGTGGTATAAAGTTTGCCCTGGATGTGGGATCAGAAAGATTTGAGGTGAATACCCCTAACCATGGTATCGACTACACCAATGGACAACAACACGAAGTCAGAATGTGGAGAACTGGCGAAAATGGAAATCTAGTCCACTTACAGGTAAGATTGTTTTAGCTAAATCTAGTCCACTTACAGGTAAGATTGCTTTAGCTAAATCTAGTCCACTTACAGGGAAGATTGCTTTAGCTAAATCTAGTCCACTTACAGGTAAGATTGTTTTAGCTAAATCTAGTCCACTTACAGGTAAGATTGCTTTAGCTAAATCTAGTCCACTTACAGGTAAGAGTGCTCTATTTAAATCTTTCAGGGCCTTAGTTTTATTATGCCCTGCCATGAATATGGCCGGGGCATATAGTGTTTGTCATGTCCGTCTTCCGTCCTTCTGTCCCTCAGTCCTTCTGTCTGTCCTTCCGTCACACTTTGCGTTTAGCTCTGTTCAAAGCTCAGTTTCAAAGAAACTATCCAAGATATTTTTATCAAACTTCATATGCTGATAGATATTGATGAGGGCTATGCAACTGCATCAACATTTTTTGACCTTGTCCTTTCCTTTGACCTTGACCTCACTTTTCTTAAATTAGTGTTTAGCTCTGTTTAAAAGATACCATGCAAGATAGTGTAATTAAACTTCACATGTTGCATACTGATGTAAGCTATTCAACTTAAATTTAAATTTAATTTATTTAAATTTGCAATTTGCTTAATTTTAAAGAAACCATTTAAGATATATTTTTGTAAGCTTATGCACTAATACATAATTTGGTAAAAATTTAGCATCGATATGCAACTTTTTAGATTTCAATTTTAAAGAAACTATTCAAGATATTCTCATCAAATTTCATACACTGATACAAATTTTCATTTTGCATTACTAATATACCCTCGGCGGGGCATTCATGTCCTATGGACATATTTCTAGTTTTTTTTTTTTGTTTCTTTTTAGTAGGGTTATATACTAAGTCACTTTTTAAGTCGGTTTCCAGAGCATTTGATTTTCATTGGGATATTCCACACTAAATTAGCACATAATAATTGCATGTCTGTTTGGTCTAATGTATTGCTACTAGACACTTCATTGTTTTTAAAACACAATACATGCATGTACACATGTAATTTTTATCAGAATCCCAGGCATATCTAGGTGCTTGTAAAATGACTAGTTTTGATTTTTCACTATGAAGTATTATCAAAGAAGAAGCAAGAGCAATCATTTTTAAGGCGGATTCCACCTGGAATATGGATGGAATCTGGCGGGAATTAGCAAATTCTGGGTGTACTTGAGTCTTGGGGCAGAGACAGAATTTTGAAAAGTTACTTGCAAGTAGAAGAGATGTCTTCCAGGCATCATTTCTACCTTCCGAGCATTGATTGGCAGGTTCAATTTTTTCTGGTGTTACATGCCAGGAAAGTTGAACAAAACTTGTGTGCATGGCTAATTTGTATTTTTGCCTCAAATTCCTGGTCATTTCCTCTTGATTTTTGCTCAGAACCTTCATATCACATACATGTATGTGGTACTTATGCTTGGAATCCTTCTTCAAAAATGCCTTTTTTCCCCCTTATTCCAGGCAGAACATTTTGCACAGGAAAGGTCAGGCAGTGTAGTTTTATTCTGGGGAGAGGGGAGGTGGGGCCTGCTGTTTTGAATTGCCCATTTTTGTCAAACTGTAGCACAGACTTCAAATTTGCTGATGATCATGGAGTTTGGTCTGTCTAAAAAAGTCAGATATGGTTTGCCATGGGCCATTTTACAATTTACAAGACCTTATATTTATCACATAATAAACATAAAGTAAGTCTCTAGGTCACACAAAAAGTTTATCAATGAACAATATACAGTACACTTGGGGTTGATGAATACAGTAAGACTCGTTTAGTACGAACACCGATATTGCGAATTCACGGATATAGCGAAGTTTTCTTGGATCCCCAGCTATATAAATTTAACGAATTCCTTATAAGGATATTATAACGAATTATGGATATGGCGAAGTAATTTCACAGGTCCCAGTGACTTCGTTATAACCGAGTTTTACTGTATCATCTTGAGTATGGAGTTTGAGCATCTTTGTTTAGTAATTATCTGTTGATTATTATTGTAGGTTGACAACTATCCTGAGGAAGCACTATCTTATGGCACCAAATTTAGTGACAATATCCTAGATGACCCCAAGTACCTGTATGTTGGGAACAACAGTAAGTTTTTTTTGTTTTTTTTTTTTTACAATTTTCATCTACTGTAGATTCCTAATTTTATGTGAGCACTTAAATCTCAAAATGACTCATTGTCAAATTGTGAGGATTCATAAGTGGACTGATAATCAAGAGTCAGTAATAAACATGTAAAAGATAATTAAAAGCGAATAATTTTATTTTGCAAGTGGTGCTTCTAGCAAAATTATGTGATAATAAATTCCTTGTGTATAATTAGGAATCTACAGTTCATCTTAAATTGTTTTGCTTATATTAAGTACATGTACATTCTGACACACTATATCATAATTTGTTACAGTTTGTAAACCTTTATCAGCAACATAGTATATACATTACCTGTCTGTGAATTTGATTTCAGGTACAGAGTCAACCACCCGTGGGTTTGAAGGCTGTATATTTAGAATGGAAATTGACAATGTCTACCCACTCAAAAGAGCATTCCAGGACCCTAAGCCTGACTTTGTTAGACTTTATCCTGAAGGTAAAAGATGGTCTTCTTGTCAAGTATCTTCAATCTAATATGCATAAATATACACATACATTGCACATGTATTTAACAATATATTTACTATTTTGAACACATAACGTTATAGTAATGTAATGAAATTTTCCCAAGAGTGTAACAAGTAGTACTATTAAATTGGTAGGTAAGCTTCGTGAGGATATGTGTGGTTATGAGGAGACTACAGTACTTCCTGACCCAATTGAGTCCCGTCCAATAAACCAGGGGGATCTAGTGGACATCACCTACCCCACTCCTCCTGACCCTGTGATAGAAAAGAAAATCATTGGAGGTAAGAATTCTTCTGAGGCTAAAAATGAATATGACAAGATAACTCAATCAAAATGATTCAGTGCAACATGTGTTCTATTCTTGTTTATTTATCAATCGCCCACAATTTTTTTTCATAATTTTCAGGTGTGGTTGGAGCTATTTGCTTCATTATTTTAATAGTCATTGTTGGATTGTTATTCTATTGCCGAGACAAGGGTGATTACGAGACCAAAGAGGCAAAGGGAGCAGATATTGCGGAGAATGCTGATGTTGCCGTAGTGTTTAATCAAACTGGAGTACCAGACATTACCAAACGCCAAGAATTTTTCATGTGATGTTCGTATATCCAAATAATGGCAAAATACAGCCTGTTTTAAGTGTTAGTAATCTCTGCTGAAAATCTCTACAACTTTCCCCTAGATTTATTCTTGGTGAAAAAGAAAAGTATGGATGGGGAAAAATACTGTTGTAAAGGAAGAATTTAAAAAAAAATGTGTTTGCTTTCCAAGATAATGTTTCCCCCATACGCAGAAGAGTTTAGATGAAGTTTCTATAAAATGTGATATTATACAGTTTAATGTAAATATATATTAGATGTATATTTTGTAAGTTAGGCTATTTAACTTGAACAATTTGCATACATTCCATGTATATTTAAACCAATTTTTCATGTATATATGTGTTTGAGAATTGTATGAATTCCTTGATTGAAGAAGAGAATGAGACTGTGTGAATGGGATCCATGATTTTATACTCAAAGAGCTTTGAGGACATATTTTTGTGGTTGTGCATCATAATCTGCAAAATACATCTACCAAGTACATGTATATCAGGTCTCTCCATATAATAAACATATCTATTTCATGAAATCATTATATACTGAAACCTAATTATCAATATGGTTGTGATTTGAATACATATCAATGAAGATAACATCTTCTAGTCTATATTGAGGATTTTTAGGTTTTAATACATTTTTATGATCCTTTTGTAAATTTTACATTGATTTACAGGTATCATATGTATATACAAGTGCCATTATTCCATTATTTCTATCATACCATAACATTCCTCATTTTATACATGACTTTTTACAGCAATAAACATGATTTAATAAGTCTTTTTACTATGAATTCTCTTTAACTCACCTAAATGAAGTTAAGATGAGCTTATGCTTGTATCCTTGACATGGCTTCAGAGCCCCAGATTTAGATCACTTTTTGGGGCAGGTCCATTCCTAAGTAACTGCAAACCTACTTGAATCATACTTGCACAGATGATGCGTCTAGGGATGCACAAGACCAGATTTGGTTTTGGGGCTGCATCTGACCTACTAGGATTGTTGGTTAATGATCAGGTTAGTTTTTGGAGCAGGTCATTATTTCCCATCTTAACCAACTTGCATGGATTGCAGCTAGAAACTAACTGCCATGCAAGATGCTGAAAGTGACACATTCTTAGCTCTTCTGAGCTATGGCCATTAGATTGGTGTGCCTCAATTTTTTGGAATATGGGCCATATCTCAAAACCTCCTTGGCAAATTTTTGTCAAATTTGTCACAGAGTATTCTTGGCCAAGGGTTCTCATTTATACTAAAATTAAGGATTTCTTAATTAGCTTTAAATAATGTTATTTAAGTTTAATGACAAAGTGAAATATTGTTATAACTAATAAAATATCACATTTCTTATGTACACTTAGCTTCTTCAAAAGTATGGGTGAAAAGGGGAATAACTCTAGGATCCTTTTTCAGTATAGCAAAAAATGAACACTCAATACATTAATACAACCTATGTTGAATATTGCAAGTAAATATAAAATCAAATTTATAAAATTTACTGCATGTACAAGTATCATTTACCAATACCAAGAATAAAGTGTCTTCAAACAAAGAAAACGAGAGGTACTGTGAGCACTGAGCTCACAAAACGATACCCCACTTCCCCCATGCGAGTATAATGACCAAGTCCATGTTTTGCCACAGGAAACCCCAAATATCTGTCCGATCAAAACGTAAAATAGGAGGTCCACAATGGCACTATGTTATAAAGATTCTGAGAAAGTCTCCTTGATTCAGTGGTATAGGAGGGTACCTCCAATATTATAGAAAGAATGGCAATATCCATGTTTTGCTATTGGAAACCCCAAATATCTGATTGAAATGTAAAATAGGTGTGCAAAGGCATTATGTAATAAATATTCTGTGAAAGTTCCATTAAATTTATTCAAAGGTATAGATACATGCATGCTCACCATGATGAAATAAATAATTCAAACTTTGTCGCAACAAAAATAGTTGCAAGTAAGAGATTGGTACCCCCCAAGTGTTAGGGATGTACAGAAGTACACCCCCATATACACCCTGCATTTTTTAGGCAGGGGTATAATAAGCACCACCTTCAAAATATCCTAGTCTGTGCATTTGATAATTTATTTTTCTATGCTATAAACATTTGTCAACAGTTGTTTCAGTAAACACATAATGGATTCTTACAAAATTTTAGCATCAAATGTCATTGAAGTAATGGATTCCCTGAATGTAGATTATTTTTTACATTGAATTAAATCATGTTTAACCATTTGACCCATACATGTATATAATATATTTGATAAAGTAAACAAAAAGTTTCGAAAGGGTGTACTCAGTTTTTAGAACTTTTGTCCAATCCTCTTTACATTTTATATACAAAACGAACCATATGACAAATGTAATGATTAAATTAAGAATAACTAAGACTAAAATGTTCTTTATTTCTAGTAACTCACAGTATTTATCAATGAACAACATTTGGAAAGAGCAGTCTTCCCTATAAAATTGTACACATATCAACAAAAGGAATGAAAAAAGATAAAGGATTTTGATTAATTAACATTATAGATAGTAAATCTTCCTTGTAGGTTGAGATATATAGATATAAAACAATATAATTACATATTTACAAATTATCTGGATTTCAATTGTATATAAGGGAATTACTTACAGCACTTGTTCCTGTAAAAATTTGTTACCCTCATGGCATAATTACATGTACTATACTACTGTAGGAGTAATCTTTTATTACAGAAACTAGTGCCTATGGAATTACTATGATGAGTAAGACAGCACTACAAATACTACTATTTCGATCCTGAATGTAAAAAAAAAAACTCCAGTAAACTTTATCTCTGACAGTGTCAAAACAGATAACAGTAAATAAATCCTCCTTGTACAGGTAGACGGAATGATCAAATAAAATTTCGTACATTATCATCACTTAAACTTTATGCATTTTATAAATCAATTACAACTATGGAATGTTTAATTATATTCTATAAATAAATTACATAAGTTTGTGACTCTTAAATGGCAATGAATAATAAACAAAAACTCTGTAAGAAAGCCTTGACATGTACGGATCACATGTACTAGGTGTGAACAGGGGGAGGAGTAGAAATCAGATCCAAACAGTAGAAATCACACTACAATAATTCTACATGAACAAAAAACATGGCTGCCAAACTTGGTCCAATTGCACTAATATTACCAAAAATAATGCAATGTAGCAACATAGTAAAAAATATCATGTGCATGGAATGGGGCTCTTAAATACTTTCAAAACATGATTAGAATGATAAAAAGAAAAATATATATACAGTGTATATATGTCTTAATAAACCAGTGAAAACTTCTATTAAGGATATGGAAATTTGAAGGTTTTGAAAATACATGTTGTTGATTTTTGCTGTAAATACATGCGTTATGTCAGGATCTTGACAGAAACATGTACACTGAATTTCATGGCATGAAAGGTGAAGTAATTTTAATTTATAAATAAGAAAAAGTTAGTACCTAGATAATTCCCATCCGTTGAAAAGTTTTGAATGCTGCAAATGCTAGTTTTGAGCTTAAAGGATTTTCAAAAGGAAATTTGATGCACATGTAAATGATTTTCATTTAAACTTTTCATTTAATCAAAATTTCCATTTTTGAAAGAAAATTTAAAGGTATTCAAATACCTTGAAAGCATGTCAGAGCATGTGGAAATGAAATGTTATGAATATTAAAGAAATACAGTCTTTTGAAATAATTAGGATTTCATGACATCTGGAGTCGTATAGAAATTTGATTCCTAAAAAATTCAGATGACTTACATAGACAACTTTTTGTAGTACAAACAGCAAAAAAATCCTACTTGTAACAAGTTAGAAAGAACACAAAAAATTATAAGTAAACTCTCTCTGTCCAATGATATACTATGTTAATAAAACAATTTGATTGAAAAATTATCACAATGGCATAAAAACAAAACGGAATGTTTCTTTTTTTTTAAGATTGTATATATGGTAACAAAAATAATGTTGCACAACCTAGAGGCTATTTCAAGCTGTTTAAAATATACACGTATTTGTACATATTGGGAGATTTTCTAATATCTGGGACAAATAAACTATGGAAAACTTAAAATGTAAAACATATTCTTGTAATATTGTAACACATAATAAAATATACATTTATTAACATTTCTAACAACTAAAACTGAGTATACAGTAAATTATATGCTCCTGGGTGACACAGGTATAAATCAAAAATAAGTATCAGCATTCAACAGCTTGTAGCAAATACTATAATTCAAATATATTACAACACACATGGAAATATCATTGACAATATGAGGTAATAATGCATAATCCTGACACAAAAAAAATTACATGAACATATCACCTAACAATTAGGAGCAAGAAAACTTAACGTGGATTTCGAAATGTAAAATCAGGACAAAGTGTCTCACTCATGCACTAACAAAAACATCTATATAACAGCTCTTTCTTGTGAATAAATGTTAAAATTCTCTCCCTTCTAATTTGCAGTATTATACATGTATTTTGTCCAATCCAATTCAGGAAGTTAAAAACATTTAAGAAGAAAAAAAAGACAATCATCAAATACATCAATAAACTTTATATCAATGAATTATCTACCCTGAAACTTATATGATCAGAAGAGGTATTCCCCCTTTTCCTGTTGAACTTTTACGATACAGTTCCCATCCAGATGTTTCTCCAAGTTCTTGGCTGTTACAAAACCCTCCCCACAATAAGTGCACTCATTTCTGGACTTCAGCATGTGGATCTGGGATTTCATGTGGCGGTTCAAGTCTGACTGTGTCACACCTTTGTAGTTGCACACTTTGCAGCAAAACTCTCGGATACCTACAAGAATTAACATTGGGATATTTATACTGATACATGAAAAACTGTATCCAATATCTCTTTCTGTTTTTAAAGAGTTCAAACTGAAAAACAGAAGAAATTGCCAGGATAGTATATAAATATGGAACCTGTTTTCCAATTCACTAAAAATCTAAATTTCTCTATACTTCAATGAACTGTAAATATATCATATTTGGCTGTGTATTCTATTATTAAAGCACCTTTGGTCAAAAGCAGCTTCTACTTAATCAAGCACATTCCTGGATGTCTTTTATATATATACATTTATACATGTATCTAGCACAATCAGAAATGTACTAAATCAAATCTAAAGCTATCTTGTTGAGAAATCAATTTCCACAAAATATTGTACAAACATAATAAATTACAATTACAGTACATGTATTGCATGGTGTCAAACCTTGATGTCTCATCATATGAACTTTTAACTGGCTGTTTGTCCTGGCATAATATTCACAATATTTGCACTTGTAGGGGCGTATATCTGTAAACAAAAATTAGACATCTTCAAAGTAATCTTTCACCTTTTATATCATATTGTGCTTAATCCTTTCATTTTAGCTTAGTATCCAGATTTCAATGAATTGGATCTTGAGTATGCATCAGTTTCTTTTCCCCAATTTGGTTTAACTCTAGAACTGATAAAAATTAATATTTAAATAAATGCATTTAGACTTTGTCCATAAAAAACATAACAGAAATCCAAGGAAATTGCACATGGCTTGACAAGTAAGGTTAATTAAATCTTGATCATAACAAAATTTTCTTTGATATTTCAGTTAACAATAATTTATGTTTCATGTAAAATCTTTCTATTATCTCAAAAGTACTTTTATTGAAACTACTCATCTGAAAAGCATTAAACACGGGAGGTCAACATGGCAAAAATGATAATTTCTTCATACAAAAAACAATATCTATATATGAATAGATCTTTGGTAATTTTTTTTCTTAAAAGTTAACCTTTAAAATGTGTGTAAAAATATAGAATTTTTGGTAGACAAAACCATGGAGCCAGAACCCACTTTAACTTAAAAATACAATTTTATGTCATAACATTAATTTCTCTCCAAGAAATTGTTGAAATCCAGTTATTCAAGGGTCCTACCACAAACAAGGTTTAGATGTCTTTATCTATTAAGGGTTGTATAGTTAATGTGTCTTCGGAAAAAAAAAAATCACTTTACTTCAATCCCCCAAGAAACTGCAATTTTTAAAACTAAAGAATAATTTTTGTTGAAAGACTTTTCCAAAGGAAAGTTTTGTTTTTCATACTTACATACTTCACAAATTGAATTTGTATTTTAAATACATGAAGTTAAAGATATCTCCAATGCCTTATCATCCTATGTTCTCTCTGTTTACAGGTTATACATTATACTAAAACCATCTTTTCTGTATTTTTAAAATACCTTCATGAAAATCCATGTGCCTGTTGATATCCGAGTATGATGAGAAGTTCTTACTACAGAACGGACAACTAAACACCTGTCTACCATCATCCAGCGTTGTTGGTTTACATATCTGGTCTCGGTTAACAGGAGAATTCACAATAGGAAGTCTATATTAAATCCAAAATTTAAGCATACATTATTTTAGTGACATCAATATTAAGGTGATCATTTAATAAAGTAATCAGGGACTTTTTGACTGTGAATAGTAAAGTTTAAAAATAATGATTGTAGTCAAATGCTAAGAAGCATTAACTGACACATATATTACATGCCTTTTAATATGAGGAAGGTTTCCCCCATCCCTTTTATTCAATGTTTTATGCAAAGGAATAAAAAAATACCTTGAGTGAGTTCTGGAGAGGGAGGTAACTTTCCTGCCATCAGTGGTCATGTGGTGCCAGCTGAATGGTGAGTTGGGGTCACCAGGAGACCACTGGACCTTTGGCATCCCCACCAGACCATCCCTATAATCCTCTGCTGGCTCCCCCTGGGTAGACGTGTTAGGGGACATGTCATCAGGAAGTCGTATGGAACCATCACTCATATTTCCCGCAGAAGAAGTAGAGGGACTGTTGCTATTTTTAGCATCAAGGGAGGAAGTGGTTGCCAGGTCAAGAGGAGCACCTGGAGATGAGCAGTTGGCATCAGCTGGATCAGAAGATTCCAGTTTCAGGTTATCGATCATTTCTGTTTTGATACCTGCTTTATTGACATTGTTGTTCAATTTTGATTGTTGAAGAGCAGCGGCAGCAGCAGCTTGAAATGCATAAATTTGGGAAAATGGAAATGATGGATGCATGAATGCAGCAGTGGATGCCAAGCCTGGAGGCATGAACTGGGAGGATGCTGAGGTCATGGTTTTAGCAAGAGTGGCTGGAATGTGGCTACTACTGGCCAGAGCTTGAGCTATGGTGGGCATCTGTCCTGATGCTAACATTGCTTGAGCAGCGGGATTAGTCAAAGCCTGTGCTAGTGACGTAGGGCTAGTTATGTGACCTGTTGCAGCAATAGCCTGGAGCATCTGTCCTGTTGCCAGCAATGAATGTGGAAATTGAGCATTTGGCATCAAGTGAGGAGGCCAAAAACCAGATGCAGGAAGAGCAGTTGGCAGCTTATAATCAACATCGGATGATGTGGGTGACTTTGCTGGGGAGGATGATCTAGAAATGGAACTGGGTGAAGAGTAATTTATTTTGTCTATAGATTCTTTGTCCTCCTCAACTTTAATGTTAGCTACAGGTTCTAATTCTTCTGGACCTTTTTGTATTTCCTCTTCCTGGTCAGCATCAGATTCTAACTTTGCTCCATTTAACTGATTTAGTCGGACTGGTTGTGATGCCTTTCTCTTTGATTTACCAGGCACCTTAGCTAACAGTGACATTTTAGGGGCTGTTTGTATTTCAGAACTGCTTACAAAATCAGATTTTTCCTCTTCTTCCTCTTGCCAATCTTTCAAATCAGATTTCTTTTCTTTGACCTTTCCCTCATCCTCTGGATCACATGGTAAAACCACTGTTACTTCATCTCCAATTCCTGCCCTCTCCAACATTTCTTTTGCTTTCCTTTCTTCCACATCTTGACTCTCTATATCAATGACTACTTCAGTCTGACTTTCACCTTTTCCACATCCAGATGTCTTTTTTAGTAGATGAGATAGCAGTGTATTACAAGACTCCTCTGTTTTAACATGATGATGACTCTCATCTCTTCCCTTGTGCTCCCGTTCAAAGTGTTCCTTTAGAAACTCGTAATCAGAAAACCCATGTCCACAGTCTCGGCAGTAACAAAAATCATGGTTGCTGTGCATCTTGATATGTTTCAGTAGTGACGATTCCTTGCAAAAAGACTTCTTGCAGATCATGCAAGCATATGATTCGTTATCGTTTCTTTTGAATCTCAACACACTAAAATGTTCTGCTAATGAAGTTGCTGAAGTTAAATCAGTGCTGTTTGTACAAGTGGAGGAAGGATCAGTAGCTGAGGTAGATAAATCTTTACTGATTACTCTGGAATGGCATTTACGTAGATGTCTGTGCATCTGGAACTGGAATGGAAATGAGGCAGAACAATGTTTACAATGATATGTTTTAATTTCCCTCTCAAAATGAAAAGAGAGATGGAACTGTACTTTGCTGAGGTAATTGAACAGTTTTCCACAGAGATGACATTTATAGGCGCACACCTTCTGACCAGAAGTGGATAGAGTTCCATCCAGTCGTGTCACTAGGACAGTCTCACTGTCCACCTTGATATCACAGGATCCTGAGCTGAATATTTGATGGATTTCTTTTCCTACTGGATTTCCACCTGGTTTTACTAATTTAGGAACATTCAGTGATAGTCTGGGAGCAAATATTTTGGGATTGACAGATTCAAATTCCATATCCTTCTGCTTGAAATGTCCTGATGATTCATCAGGCTGGTCTTTGAAAGAGTTACTGCTACAATTGTAGAAAGTCTGAGTCTCTCCATTTCCATGCATTTGTAGAGGTTTGAAAAGTGGCATATATGCCACTGGGTGATTTGTAGAAGCTGTAGGGAACACAGCTTGGTCTGGGTTTCCTTCTGGGGACAGATTTGGTGAGACTGTTGTCTGATTATTTTGGTAGGGACCAGCATTATTAGATCTTCCTTTGTCTGTTGGTACCTTTGACTGCTTTTTCAATTTTAGATAGCGCTCTTCAAGTCCAGGACTTAACTCAACCATATAGCCATGAGCTGATTTTAGGTGATACATCATGCTGTTCTTAGCTCTAAATGGTTTACCACACACCTATAAATAAAATCAAGTGCATGATATATATAACGATGTATTGGGGGAAATAAATATATCTTGATTCTGTTCATTCTTTGTCTAAAACAGTTATTTACTTGAAATCATGATTCTTAATATCAGAATTACAGATAACAAATCATTTGCCAATATGCTTGTGATGGCAGAATTTTTTGTTTTGGGTTTTACTTTTTGCATTTATACAAATTCACTAACCTCACATTTAAATGGTCTTTCACCTGTATGCGACATCATGTGTCTCTTTAAATCACTGGGTTTCATGCACACTTTTTTGCAAATTTCACAGACCCGCTTTTTACTGTTCTCTACCACTACACCATTCACAAGGAATGGCAGGCTGTTATCGAGGGGATCAGTCACAAGATCAACACCATGCTCATTCTCAAACTTCCTTCGTTTCTTGTCCACCTCCTGAATGACAGACTCATCCACTAGTTCTCCAGCTTCAAACTTTCTCTTGCGTATGTCAGGGTATCTGGCAGCAACACTTTTATGTTCTATTCCATGCACTGAAAACTGGTGATAAAGCAGTGTCCTTTTAGCATTGAAAGCTCTGTTGCACACCTGAAAGAATATGGTTTGTGTAAGAGTTATCTCCCTTTACGGAATGTCTGTATTGTCATTACAATCATTAAATTGCAGGCTGGATTCTACAGTATTCTTTATAGCAGTGGAAGAGAAGGGAGAGTGGATTAAGATTCACTTATTTTAAACTGAGGAATATTCTCATATTTTAGGAATGAAACATGGATTACCCAAGATAATGATCAAAATATGTATGAAAACTTTAAGCTTTGGCTTCTTATTAAGAAGTTTAATTTGCTGCATTTTTTTTCCCAGAATATCATGATCATTCTACTTTAAATAACTGAATGTATTAACATAACACTTTTTACCATACCAAACATAGAAAAGGGCGTTCCCCAGTGTGTCCCCTTAAATGTGTCTTTAATTCGGTTACATCTGTCTTCAATACACCACAAAATTCACATTTAAACATGCCATTTTCCACCTCAAAGTGAGATCCCTCTCGGAAAGGGTCTTCATTTACATCACTGTCTTCAATCCTTAATGTTGTGCTGGTATTTGAAGACTCATTAAGGATGTCTTCCATCTCAGTATTGCTATCCTCCTCCTCACTACCAGGATCATAGCTAGCTCCATCCGAGATATCCCCCTCTGCTACTTCCTCTTTAGCAGCATTCCCATTTGGTATATGAGAATTTTCAGACTTCATTTTTATTGCAATTTCCACTTCATTGTCCATTGCTGCAGTATGATTTCTGGATTTCTTGTGCTTTTTATTTTCCTCTTCTTTGCTCACATGTCTGTCATCAAGATCATTCAGTGAAGCATTCCCATTGGTCTGTCCATTTTCGCCATTTCCCAAGCCCTCCACCATGTTTCCATTTTCTCTGGAGTCTGTTTTCTTTGAGGGAGCCTTACTCTTGGATGTTGAAGTTTCTGGTTTTTTTAGGACTTGCCTTCTTCTTGTGCCCTTTTCAATGAAGTTCCCATTGTCATCTGCTACAGCTGTTTTGGATAGTTTTCTTCCTCTTGTGTTGTTAGGTAGAGGACTCTCACCATTGTCTACAACCATAGGAAAAAAAAATCATTTAATTATACCATCACATCTAGAACAACACTTTAGATGGAAAATTTGTTGTATTACAAAGCATACTGCTAACCCTTAACATAGTGATAAACATCTTAGCAAGAAAATTGCTCTTCAATAAATACCTTCATGCATGCATAGTTTAAAAGCTCGCGTGCAAAGGCTTAACCAGCATGTTACAGTATAAACATTTCTAGTATTTAAACTGTAGCTGTTAAGGCCTGATTTGGAAACTTCAGTGTCTCCCTGATATCTATTATATCATAAACCTTTGATAAAATGACATAACATATTAATCCCCAGAAGCTTACATAATCTTGCCTACATTTGCGCTAGGCTCCACAGTCACACCTAAAAACAATGGTTTCAACTTACTAACAATTGAAATTTAAGGTGTCACCTTATTATATCACAATGTCCACACAAAACTGCTTATACCCACACTGGCTACCTATTAATCTCACTGAATATTGCTTGTAAGAAAATGGAAATAGATCAATGCATTTAGGTAAAGTATTGGCCATTCTCAGGTAGATGTATATATATTTTTTAGCTGTAGGTTACAGTTCTATAGATGCTCATATTGGGGGGAATTAATTGGGTCCAGTCATGCATGTCTCAAGAGCAGCCATGTAGAACACCTGTAGGGTCTATCCAGCATGCATAAACACATTGACTGAATATACATACACGGGTCTATTGACAGGTATGAAAACATGTGATTTAGCTAGGCATTTCAACAAATACCTGTAATTATACAGCATTCATGCTCTGAGTGAACAAAGGGGTGACTAATTAAGACATTCTTTTCCTTTAACCCCTACAACTGTCAATGAAATTCAAATGAGTATTTCAGGATCCAAATTAATTTAATGAAATCAACAAAAGAAAAAAAAAGAGGAAACAATTAAAACTTTAAATCTTACAATTTTTGGTGGAGGTGGGGTGGGGATGGGGGATACTGTTACTTTACATTTTAATCACTTTTATTTATTATCATTCTTTTTGACCAAATATGCTGTTTCAATAACATAAAATTTTACTTTTTAAATATGTTCTCCACTGACGAAAAATCTTGTACTCACGTTCTTCCCTTCTCTCTCTTGTGGTCTTTCATAATAAACAATTGCAATTTCTGAAATACCCTCTGCAGAACCTCAATGTGTGACCTACCCAAAGGATTATGCTCTTTCCCTTTAACTGAGAATTACATAACTGTCCACTTCAATTTCTACACAATAGAGATTATACAATGTCCACTGAAGTGTCCAGCAGGTATGTGTTGACACAGGTAACCATACCTGTGTAATCTGAGAAACACCCTACATAACCTCCAGGTGATAACAAAGAGATGATATAGTAACTAGTATTTCAACACAATTGTACTCTATATTTTAATTTTCAGAGGTCATTAAATATACCATTAGAGATGTTAACCATATATATTTTTTTTTTCCAAAGGCACTTTCAGGTTTCTTATATCAATTTTTTGGTGAATGGGTTGAACTCATCAAAATTGAAAAAAATAGAGCATCTCATTGTCTATATACAGTGAAAAAATGAAGACAAAGTATGAATGTTATAACAGGAAAATGCTGTCTTAATTACCCCCCCCCCAAAAAAAAAGGGGGGAGGGTTCAAAGAATTGTCTAAATAATGCTTTTCATCCATTCATTTGTTAATCAGATATTTTTCCTGGAGGAGGAAAACTAAATCACTTAAAAATCTCTTTAAGGTATGATACATCTGTTAAATATCAAAAAACTTATGATAAAAAGTTAGAAGAAAGAGAAGTGAAAAATACAGACATTAAGTGGGGTCTGCAATGAAAATGCATTTGCCAGATTGTAAAACATATTGATCGAAACAGAAATGAAACAGGTACAAAATACTGTAATATTAGTTTTGTAGTGTTTCAAATGAATGTTAATGTAAAGTATAAGACCCCCTCCCTCTCACCTCTATAGATGGAAAAAAGTAATAATAATCATTATGATAATTGCAATCAAAACAAAAGTGTTTGGAAATGTTTTAGTCTAAGCAGACATTTTCATGACCACCAAGATGGAAAACCTAAATGCCTTTTTTACATTAATCAATTTTCAACGAAATAATAATTTCTGTTTTCATTTTACACTATTTCACAAATAACCAAAAAGAAATTAATATTTCATGACATTATCATCTATCAGATGTCAGCACTGCATAAAGATCTGTGTCAACATTATCAATATTTTTGTAAATATCTTTGCAAAATGTTTGTAATTCAATACTGGTAAAACTCTATGTACACCAAATTACACATGTATATGCATGGTAAATGAATCTGAAGCAATTGATGCATATGACTAGGTATCAAGTTATACTGCTAGCTGAGCTGAATGTATGTACATAATATATGGTTTTAAAATGTGCATTGATTTTGACCTGTCATGCATGGTGAAACTTAGTTGTGGGCATTCCTGCATGCAAAACAAACAGGATAATGAATCGCTGTAAAAACCTCCTAGTTCGGCGTACCCGAAGGTCACCACCCAGTAATGCATTTTTGGCAAAGTATTTATTCTTAATCATGCATGACCTGCCATTGAAATTAGCTTGCTCTAGGGTATGTGCATGCTAGGATGTGACTATACATGAGGCGTTAGTCTGACAAAGATGTGTTTCTACACTGTATTCTGTCAAGACTGGGCAAGTCTGAATGTATAAAAGCTAGAGAAAAAAAAAAGATTTTTAGATCCAAATATTTTGTTAAAAAAAGTTAGTAATTGTTAACATGGTTAAATCATGTGAATTTCTATTTTACTGTACACTTCGTATACCACAAATAATAAATAAATGTACTTTTATTTCATCACATTGTGACAGTTCTACAATCCTCTTTCAATTTAACAAAATGGATAGAACTATGTCTAAGACCATTATTTCCACCCGTTTACAAATCATGCATAATAATTACAATTTTACAAACAGTGATTCACATCCAAAATTTAAGGAAAAAGCAAGTTTGCATATTAAACAATTAAGTTGCTTAAAGTTTCTTTGGCTCTCTGATAAGTGATAACTCTGTCAGGGCTGCCCCTAAGACCTGGGGGCTGGTGAATTTCCCCACCTACAATGATATAATCCCCCAAATACTCTGGTATTCCCCTTCAACCTCCTGTTAAGGGAGGAACCCCAACCCCCTTCTACTTTTTCAATGTCCCCTTGCTATTTAAATTCTTAGGGACAACCCTGAACTGTTATGAATGATTATTATTCCTTTATAAAATAGTCTACCATTTCTATCAAATTTAGCCCTGCATGGTATACTAAAATTGTGTGCATTTTAATTATTAATTAGATTTCTTTTGGATAATCATAAGCATTAAGGACAGATTTTAAATGAGTGAGCACCTTAATTCAATTTCATGTGACAAATTTGTTCTCAGATCTTGTTTGTTGATTGAAAGCTGAGTTTCCTATCTAAATATTTAGTTAACTGACCACTCAAATTGTACTTGAAAAGTTCAGTCTTACAAAGTTTGAAGTAAAATGTTTTACCTTTATGATGACTGAATTCTCAATTGAAATCAGAAAACCAATGGTATGTATATACAGAATGAAATAACTTTCTATTCAAAAGTATTTTTACCACATCGATACTACAGCTTTACTACAATCATGCCTACATTTTGGACAACTCAGGATGTATAATATTCCTACATACATGCTAACACAAAGACATAAAAACAGTTACAGAGTTCTTACTAACAGCCTCACTACAGAGAGAGGGCTGACTTAGCATGAGCTCCCTATACCTTGACATCCGATCAATCACACACTGTATGATCATTATATAAACCAGCCTATTACTGTTAACTGTCTCGAAACCCCCGGCATCACTTATAAGAAACAAATTTGTAAACCACTCAGGTACATGTATCCATTCAATATTTCCATTTTAGGGAGGACTAGCTGTCTTAGTTTTCACTATCAAACCTCTTCCCCAGCAATGATGAATTAAAAACTATAGTGAACTTTATATTTGTACTAAGGATTAACCTTTAAATAAATTTTAATGACTACATTCTTATTTATTTCAATCTACGATAACATCATACACAAAATTATCTTTCAATTAATAGTCAATATTTGGACAATAAAGGAGGAAAGTTATCTGGATCTGAGACATATTGTCATTTATTTGTACTTTAATTGTGAGAACACATGAATTCTTATTTTCATTATAATTTATACATAGCTGTGTTCAAGCTGTAAAGCCTAAGATCACTGTAAAAAATTACAGGAAAAAATATAGTCTTTCAGTAGGAAAAAGTTAAACAAATAGAGTTAACTAAATGGTACCCCTCGGGCTACATTAGCAGAATAAAGTGAAAGTACACTATTAATCCCATTGTATAGCTACAGAATCTATAGGGTTCATGTTATCAATTTAGACAATCAAATGCACGTCCATTGAAGGAACGTGACTGTCTCTATCGCAGACTCTACACAGGTAAATATGACCTGACCCAGTTTGGTTGTCAACATGTGATCATATGTAATAGAATTAAGAAATTTTCATGCACGAGATCTGTTTACAAAATGAGAAAATTCGTCTGCTAAAGTATTCACTATACAGAAATATATACAAACATATTTATAACAAACAAGAAAGCGAAGTGTCAAGCAATTCTGATAGGTAATGTAGACAATTTCTGCTTTTACTATATCGAAATTCCTGCAACAATCCAAGTAAATTGAAAAATCGACTGCACAAAAAATCGATTCACTGGCATACGCGCACGCGTAAAGTAAATATGAATTGTACAATTTAAATTCACTTTCTTACCACTCAGATGGCTTGGTTTTTGCTGTTTCCTTTTCGAAATCTTCGGCATTTTCTTGACTTCATTGGAAAGTGGGTCCGTGGCCTGTCGAAATCAAAAGTTTACGCACGAACGGCTCTTCCACCTTTACGTCTCGCTTCAGTCTTCTAATCTAATGCATGCTGGGACTGACCTCTGGCACGTGTATGAAACCGGAACTTGCACGACCGTCAGTGTACGTTACGCGTTTTTGACAGGTAGACCATTTTCGGATTCACACACGTGGATCTGGCACAAGACAAAAGGCAGGGCCAGGGGTGTCTGATGAATAGAAAATATACAAATGGATAAAGAGAAAACAGATACGGTTTTAGGGCATGTATTTTATTGTACTCTAAATAATTTCAAACAAAAACATCCTGTATGTTGCATCAACGAATATTCGAATTTCCTCGACTACATACATTTATGTAAATTCTATTTAAGCTGGCTCCGTAAGCCAGTTGTATAATAAATTGAATAAACAATTCTCTCTTACAGTCCAGATGGACAGCCTATGTCAAAGAAGGCACTGAAAAAACTTCAGAAAGATGCAGAAAAGGCAGCCAAAAAAGCTGAATATAAGGCTGCCAATAAGTCTGTACAGCAGGTAAAGCGGGTTTATAATCAGTTATTAGCACCCAGACATATGGTAAGATAGTGAGAGAAGGTACTTTATAATAAGACGAAAAAAAAAAAAGAATTTAAATGGGGACAAGAATTTCCATGCTGACTAAGATACATGTGTTTATCTTGGTTGTGAATTTTACCCCCTCCCCCTTTTTCTCCCAAACGCAGCACACAGAACTGTTATAGAATAAAATCCTAGACATCAATTGTTTTGTTACTGATAGTTTATGAAATGTTAACAAATAATAAGAAAGGTAAAAGCTTTCATTTTATGTGCTTTGCAAGTCATATTCAATAAATGGTGGCTGGGGAGCAGAAGGTGGATAAGGGATAGAAGTGTTGGATGAAATAAATACAGTATTGGTTTAGCTTTCTTAAATTCTATTGAATTTTCCATATCATATTTTATATCAGGGTTAATATAAAGAGGTTAAAGGTGCTAACATTGTTAGGAAAGTTTCAACAAAATATTGCACAAATGTTTCATCATCCATAGAAATTTCATATATGTATAAGACATACTTTCTGTATCTCCACATATCTTATCCATTGACCATAGTAAAATGGTTGGTTGTTTTTCGAAACTCAATCAATAAGCGTATTTCTAAATTAATTGAAACTTTTGGACTATATAAAATTTTCTGTATGTTTTGCCAGGATGCTGTAGAAACAGAGGATGTGTCCAAGGGATTGTATGGAAACTTGCCTATGATAAGGTCAGCAAAGAAGCTGGACTCTGGTACAGAGTATCTGGATGTGAAGGATTTAACCCCAGCTCAGGCTGATAAGAAAGTGTGGGTTAGGGCTCGTCTACAGACCAGCAGAGCTAAAGGTTTGCTTATGAGTATTAAATTCATCATTGAATGTTTATCAAAGAGATAACGGTCATGATGTAATGATTCATTAACTTATTGGTAAAGGCCATTTTTCAAACTACTTTTCTGTTTGAACTGTGTAGAATATGAGTGCCAAAAATCAGTGACAGGGAGACAAGGGCAGTAACTGCAGCTATGGAAATTGCATGAAAAAAAAAACATAATCAGTATATTTGATGGTGCATGCACCATTGTTTTATTGGATTCCATAGAAACCGTAACATTATAACTTACTTTTAATATTTCATTAGATCTGCCTCCATACCACAAAGGTCAATGTTAGATGCTCTAAGTCAGTCAGTCAGTCTAGACTTCCGGTGTCTAAAAAGTGCAAGTTTTCAATGAAAGGCCTTGATATATTTTCTGTTTTATGCAATTCTGTTTTATTTGAGCTCTCTGTAAAAGCTAAATCTTGGTCATTTACATGTTTTGTCTGCTGTTCTTGATGTTCACAATGAATTGTGGTAACCAGGAACGTATGGGAACTTGCATACCAAAATTTGCTTGATAAATGTGCAGACCAGCAAAAAATTCTTTTGTTCTTATATGTAATTCCATTGAGCTTGTTGCACTCAATACGATTCAAATATTTAGGAAGAATTAGATTTTCCTCCAAAGACTTGACTTTTGCTTTCAATCCATCTATTAAATCTTCAGTGGTTATGTTCTTGAGTTATTCATTGTAATTCACCTTGTCAAGTACAAAACAGATGATTGTTAAAGTATTCCTCTCTGTTATTTTCCTTAAGTTGCCTCACTTGGATTATCTTTCTTGGTTTTTTTTTTAGCTCATCTGAAGCACCACACCCTCTTTCTAGGGGAGATAATTAAGAATTGATGAAAATTTAGTGACATCTTCCAAAAATCTTCTTTTTCAAGAACCACTGAGCCAGAAAAGTTGAAACATATGTGAAAGCTTCATTACATAATGTAGATTCAAATTTGTTCAAATCAGGTATGGTGGGGCTGAAAAAGATGATCATGATGAAACATTTGTGCAATATTTTGTTGAAAGTTTTACGTATAGGAATATGTAGGGAAAATTGTTCAAAATCTTCCTCTTAAGAAACACTGGACCAGAAGAGTTGAAACTTATAAAAGTTTGTTTTTTAATAATATTTTCTCAATAAATAGCATAAAATTATGTCACAAATTCATATTTTAATCACATAATACATGTTAAGCTTCATTTTGATAAATTTCGGTTGGTAGGGATATCGCTAGAACTTGTTCAAGTGCAAGGGTGTCCAGTGCATGGTGAACTCACCCTAAAGCAACAAATAACAGACGTTTGTCTTATACAAAAAGAAAAATAATATCTGGGTTAGTCTTTTTTCCTGTAATCTACCTAATAATGCCCCTCTCCCCCTCTTTTCAACAGATTTCAACAGATTTGCTATTTTGACTCAAATTTATTCATCAATGTCTATTCATCCATGTCAGTGCCAAAACTTTATTCTGTCATATAACCTAGGCTAATGACATTTGACCTGTGAATATATCATCATAGACGATTTTTCAATTACCATTGTCACCCATGTGTGACTTTGAGATTTTGATGTAAGGAGTCAGTTTACTGGTTTTTAGCTCACCTGGGTGGATGCTAAATTAACAAAAATATTTAATGCTTTATTGCTATTATGGCTGATAGGTGTATATTGTGCTCTTGCACTACTTTTAACATAGGCTTGTGATATTCAGCATATGAATGTCACAAAATTACGGGTTTTGTAGTGTTTCACACCATCTGGACTATAGCTATTTTATACATTGATTTATATGGAGAAACTTTTATGTCATTACAGGGAAACAGTGTTTTATTGTGTTACGACAACAGAAATGGACAGTGCAGGCTTTAGCTGCAGTAGGAGACAAAGTCAGCAAACAAATGATAAAATTCATTGCAAGGTATTCATTTCTATTACAGTATACAGTCAAACCTCTTTATCTCGAACTCGATGGAACCAAGAAAAAACCTCAAGGTATCCGAGGGTTCGAGATATCAGGGGTAAAATACTGAAATAAGAAGTGGTTGGGACTTCCAAATCACTTTGGCATAGCCATAGTATTTGAGATATCAGTGTTTGAGATATCAAAGTTCAACTGTACTTTAAAACACATGGCAGCTAGGCACTTTGTGCATATCTAGTCATTAATAAAACTCTCTATACAGAATAAGTTTACCATTGTCTAATGTTATCTTTTAAAAGAGTCATTAGCCAAAATGATGAATATACAGTGTATTTTCAGTATACACAAGGAGTCTATTGTGGATGTTGAGGGTTTTGTAAGAAAAGTGGAGCAGGGAGTGGAGTCCTGTACTCAGCAAGATGTGGAATTACACTGCCTTCAGGTGAGATGTGGAATTATACTGCCTTCAGGTGAGATGTGGAATAATACTGCCTTCAGGTGAGATGTGAAATTACACTGCCTTCAGGTAAGATGCGGAATTACACTGCCTTCAGGTGAGATGTGGAATAACACTGCCTTCAGGTGAGATGCGGAATTACACTGCCTTCAGGTGAGATGTGGAATTACACTGCCTTCAGGTGAGATGTGGAATTACACTGCCTTCAGGTGAGATGTGGAATAACACTGCCTTCAGGTGAGATGTGGAATTACACTGCCCTCAGGTGAGATGTGGAATTACACTGCTTTCAGGTGAGATGTGGAATTACACTGCCTTCAGGTGAGATGTGGAATAACACTGCCTTCAGGTAAGATGTGGAATTACACTGCTTTCAGGTGAGATGTGGAATTACACTGCTTTCAGGTGAGATGTGGAATAAAACTGCCTTCAGGTGAGATGTGGAATTACACTGCCTTCAGGTGGGTGAAACATGGTCATCATGGTCTGCTGAGAACTTAATAAAATCAGAAATTACAGTTGAACCTCGTTATCTCAAGCTCCATGGGACCGAGGAAAAAAACTTCAGGATATCCGAGGATATCAAGGGTAAAATACTTAAGGAATGTGTGGATGGGACTTCCAAATCACTTCGACATATCCATGGTATTCAAGATATCGATGTTCAAGATACCGAAGTTCAACTGTACCTTGTTACCAAGTGAGTTACGTGTACACATGGTACACTGAACATAAAGGGATCTCTGGAGTTGATGTGATTTAATTCCCCACATACACAGAAAGAGGTCGAGTTGAATACTCCAGTATCTCTGAAGTTTTTTGGGGGGGGGCCTTATTGGTTGGGTACATACATTTGGCTTATTGTTTGTAGGTGTGGGTGATCAGTTCAGCAGAACCACAGCTACCTTTACTGATAGAGGATGCTTCTCGTGCTGAAACTGATGAAACAGTAAGTATGAAATAAATATAGTCAAACCTGTATTATGTGACCTGTCAAGGGAAATCCTAAAATGGTCACATATGACAGGTCGTCTCTTTATTCAGGGAATCATATTCCCTAAGACAGGTTTGACTGTAACTGTAATTCTTATGTACATTATCAATATTTTTATAGCATACAGAAAGATAATTTCTGTGGTTCAAGCAAACTTGCTGAAAATATCCCAAAATACTTGACTTCCCCCATATTTTTGTGATTAATTCAAATAAATTGAAAATTCATACTCATTCTTTGAATGATCAAGGCACAAAATTTTGAGCATGAAAAAATTATACAGCATATAAGGCAGAATGATCTGGTGTTTTAAGATGAACTTTTGTTTCTGTTTTACCATTGGGAGAGTTTTTACAATACCTGTTGTGTTAGTATGACAATGAATTTGTCAATGTGCTTCACATTTGTATTTGAGTCTTAACCAGTAAACTACCAGTAATACCAGTAATTTAATCAAAGACTTGATATTTTATTCAATCCTTAAATATTAATATTGTTAATTTATATTTCACATTATTGTGATGGAGATCTTGATATTGATAATGCTATGGAGTATGCCACTGGCACTTCAATATACATGTAAAAAGCAGCTGCAAACACATGTTACTGTAACAGTAAAAAACGAGATTCGTACTCAAGTTTCCTGGGTTATGCATGAAGGATGTATGTTGCAAGATTTATTTCAAGCTGCATCTAAGAATTCATCCCATTCACTTTGTTGGATGTATCTTTAAGCATATCAGTGTTAAAATTAGTTCTAATTCATATTATTGATTGTTCATTTTAAAACTTGCAAAAAAAGTTTCTGAAATCCTTGGACTTCAATTTTTTTGTCTAAAAAAAAAGTAAAGGTAAAAGGTGGAGGTGGGGTTGGGATTGTCTTTAAAAATAAAAGAAAGCATTTTTGTATGCTTACAATGAAAAATAAAATTAGATTTCATGGATGAGAGATCGTCCTGTTTTCAGTTAAAATATTTACATTTTAGAGTTTAGCAAAGGTAAATCAGGACACGAGACTTGACAACAGAATTCTGGATCTGCGTACCACAACCAATCATGCTATATTTAGAATCACAGCAGGTGTATGCCGATTCTTCCGAGAACACCTGGATAGTCAAGGATTTATAGAAATTCACTCTCCAAAGATCATCTCAGGTAAACTCAAATAATTACCTGTATATTTTGATACATTATTTCCTCTGTCTTTATGCACTGTCTTTATGTGCAAATACATGATACTGAATGTATTAATCCAATCTTTGTCTGCATCTGATTTGTTTATGTTTATCTACAGTTTTTAGATGAGTGGTGTAGCAGTGGTTACAAAAAAAAAAAAAAATTGTGGAATTCTTTCAAAACTTTACTTTTACAGTTTCTGGTATGATTTCATCAATTAAAACTTGGCAGAAGAAAAAAAAGTATCACAATACTTTTTATAGGTGTTATCATAGCTACAAAGTTTGAAGTCCAGGTGCTCTTTTTCTCTTCCTTTATTATAATTACAAACCAAAAGAATTCTAGTCCTGTCAGAGACTTCTGGTTGATTTTTAAGCTGTAGTAAATATGGAGGAGATTTTTCAGTACTGCCATAGGATTTGACCTAAGCCTTACAAGTGGCCTTGAAAGTAGTAAATGATTTACTTATCAGAATTGTTATCTTAAAATTTCATTAATTTAAATTGGGCTGTAATATTTTGAATAAAGTTGTATGTAAACATAAGCCTTAATTTATGAACTTGTGCAGTATATCATTTGTGGCTTCTATCTGTGACAATGCTGTATTGAATGAGCAGGTATTTTTGACTGATAACAACTCATGATTTCAGTTGATAGAAATGTGAATACATGTATTATCTGGCTATTTCATCTGTTTTATGTACATATTTATAATCTTTGAAATCAGAATTTATGTGAGATAAAAAGTAAGAGATTTTAATGTGGTATTTATTTTGAACAAACAGCTGCTTCAGAGGGTGGAGCCAATGTGTTCACTGTGTCCTATTTTAAGTCCAAGGCCTTTCTAGCTCAGTCTCCACAGCTCTACAAGCAGATGTGTATATGCTCGGACTTCGATAAAGTCTACACCGTAGGAGCAGGTCAGTGTACCTAGGCATTTGTCATCAGATACATACAGGCATAACTAAGGCAATGAGGTTTTTCAGTCTCTGTATTTCAGAATGTTATACCAGCACCATTGTAGAAATACAGGAAATGAAATTTATTTATAAATAGAGAAAAGGAATTTACCCATTTCCAGTGTGAATTCTTTTATTTTCTGATTTACTTTGAGAATGGTTGTTGTTTGGTTGGAATTTTAAGACATGCCTTTTGATATTTTCTGATATGTACATGTAATTGTATTCTTATAGTGTTCAGAGCTGAAGACTCTAATACCCATCGACATTTGACAGAGTTTGTGGGACTGGATCTGGAGATGTCATTCAAATTTCACTACCATGAAGTCTTGAAGGTCATAGGAGACATGTTCATCAACATTTTCAAAGGTCTCAGAGACAAGTAGGTCTATACATGCTTTCTCAGATCTCTTTTCTGAAGTTCTAATTCATTGAACTTCCATTAATGTACCGGTATATTATTATTTGTAAAGCAATTTGAACAGTATTGATTTAAAAATTTTAAAGATCTATGTGGCATATCTGAGTTTAAAAAATAATAATACGAGATTGAGTGTAGATATACAAGATATATTCTATTTACATTCAAACTAAAACTTTCACTGATTTTGAACTTGAATAACCTCATGTTTCTGTAGTTAAATTGACTTTAAATTTGTCTGCTATTTAAATGTGGAGTTGGTAAATAAATTGGTTACTGTTTTAAATTTTTGATATCTTTGAAACGCGATTGATTTAAAACGTGTAATTTACAGGAAAGTCCTGTCTTTTTATAAAGTAATAAATCAAATAGAAAGATTTTTTTAGTTTGGTTATCTGAACTTATAAAAAATATGCCATATATGGCTTTAAGTGCAAATGCATACAATACCTGCATAAGTATCGTTATGAATAAAGTTACATTTATTAATTTATGTTTAATTATATACTTCGAAATTAAGTATATATAATGATGCACAATTTTGCATTGATAGAATTTAATGCAGTAAAGTAATCTATTAGATACATGTATATGCATTAATATTATGTCATGATACTTCAATACTTTGAAGTTCAAGAGCAGTAGTCACCAACTTGATGAGACTTTTTCATATTTTATTTAAGTTTTATCCTTGCTTTATGTTCTTTTCAGTTTTAAAGAGGAAATAGAAACTGTCAATAAGCAGTATCCGGCTGAATCTTTTAAATTTTTAGAACCAAGGTGAGTTTTATTAGGTGGTCTTTGAGCCAAATAAAATTTGAATTGTAGATGACACTTAATTAACCAACATTTTATGCAATATTTATGCCCCCCTTCGAAGAAGGGAGGACATATTGCTTTGCTGCTGTCTGTCGGTTGGTCAGTCGGTCTGTCTGTCGGTCCACCAACAGTTTCTGTTCATTTTCTTTGCAGAGGTTGCACATACTGAAATACTTCAAACTTTTCTTGAAATTTGGTATACAGATTTATCATAAGAATATCTAAGTCAAGTTCTGTTTTGGGTATGATCAAGCAATTTTTGACAGAGTTATGCCCCTTGGACTTGGAAAAATTCCAATTATTTGCAGTTTCTGTTCATTTTCTTCACAGAGGTTGCACATACTGAAATGAAATTTGGTAAACAGATTTATCATTAGAATATCTAGGTCAGATTCTGTTTGGGTACAATTGAGCAATTTTTGACAGAGTTATGCCCCTTGGACTTAGAAAAATTCCAATTATTTGCAGTTTCCGTTCATTTGCTTTGCAGAGGTTGCACATACTGAAATTTAACATAAGAATATCTAGGTTAAGTTCTGTTTTGGCTATGATCGAGCAATTTTCGACAGCGTTTTGCCCCTTGGAAAACTACTCAAGCTTTTCTTGATTTATAAACCAAAGAGATTTTTTCTTGGGTTGTCAATGAGTACAGGTCGAAAAGGTCCGGGTATGGAATACTAAAATAAAATAAGTACTCAAGGATTTTAAAAAAATATAAAACTGTGCAATATTTATTCATTGTTATCATTATATGTCTAAAAATATTTCAAATAAACAGGCAATTCCAAATCTATAAAATATCAACCCTGAGTAGCTGAATTTACTTTCACGAGAGAGACAATCTATTAAATTATTTACTTGTCAACCCTAGTGACATCAAGTTAACATCAGAGAAACGAGTTTTAAACTTTTTAAATTTCCTTTGGAACAAATATTTGTCGGACAATCTGATGATATATATGACATGATGAAATTGAATTTACATGTACATGCCTATGTTCAAATTTTCGTGAATGTATTTACATTTGACTTGTCATTGATAATCATTAAATAAGAATTGAATGTTTATTATAATCATTTGTATTATATTTTATTAAAAATGTTTCAATTTTTCTTCTTCTTTTCACTCATGACTTACTTAACATCAGTATTTAGAATCTGAACTTGCTTAAAACCATAAAGAACATCATTTATTCATGAAGATCTGAAGATGAGTTTAAATTTTGAATTTTTTCTTAAATAATGAATGAATAAGTACTTAATGGGGAGGGCAGGCAAATAACTGGTTACTAAAATTTGACTGATTTGAGAACCCTAATTTTTTCAAATAAAAATAAAAATTTCTTTTAAACACATCTGTATGTATAATACGTGACATTTTAGTCTGGTGCTGGAGTACCCTGAGGCTGTGAAGATGCTGAGAGAAAATGGAGTGGAAATGGGAGATGAAGATGATCTCAGTACACCCGCCGAGAAACTCCTGGGGCGACTTGTTAAAGCCAAGGTATAATTCAGGTTCTTAGCTCACCTGAGCTTTTCTGATCACATTTTGTCCAGCGTTCATCTGTCTATCTGTAAACTTTTCACATTTTTGACTTCTTCTCAAGAACCACTGGGCCAATTTCAACCAAACTTTCCAGAAAGTATCCTTGGGTAGGAGGGATTAAAGTTTGTTCAAAAGAAGGGACACGCCTTCTTCCAAGGGGAGATAATTATGAATTAGTGAAAAATTAATGGCATCTTTTGAAAATCTTCTCAAGAACCACTGTGTTAGAAAATATGAAACATACATGGAATTATCCTTAGGTAGTTGTAGATTCAAGTTTGTTCAAATCATGACTCCCGGGGGTAGGGTGGGTCCACAATGGGTGATCAAAGTTTTACATAGGAATACATAGAAAATAATCTTTAAAAATTTTCTTCTCATGAACAGCAAAGCAATGATTGGTCATATTTATATGGTAGCATCCTCAGGTAGTGTAGAATCAAATTTGTTCAAATCATGACCCCCGGGAGGTAGGGTGGGGCCATAATGGACAATCAAAATTTTACTTAGGAAAAAATTGCAAATAACCACTCACCCACTCACAAATGCGAGTAATTTTGCCTGTGAGGATGTTATCGCCCACATGGTGAGTAAGAATTTTATCAGACCTTTTCCAGAACCATATTGTGGTTTGGTTCTACTATTAAATGCACTTTTGTTTTCACTGTTTTCTTCCTTTAGAACATTTTCAAGACCCAGAATCGTGTCGATGATACGCTTCCCTAAATATATGAAAATTCCTTATATGTATCAACAATAGTGGGTTTTTGTCCATATCCTATTAAGATGCATTCTGTGTATTACTCACAATTAGCAGCTTTATATTCATTAATTTTCCTCCTGAAATAAGAATGATGAAGATGTTTTCTGATCTTTTGAAAGTCGGTAAAGTACGCTTGTAATTTTACGAGAGAAACATATATTAATTTAAAATACATGCCTCAAAGTGAATGAAAGTGGAATTTCATACAAGTGGTGTTGAAATCTGCAGGAAAAATTGAAAAGAAATACTGTGGACAATAAAGTATTTTTATCTGAGATTATGATAAGAAAAGATTTTTTTTACTAAGTGAACAGAAAATTGTGGGCCCCAAAATATCAATATGGGCTAGTAAAACTTGTGAAGTTGGGGGGGGGGGGGGGGCACATGGCCCCTAAGGTTTAAAATGTTATTTGCAACCCTGTCCCTGGGGGTAGGGTGGGGTCACAATGGGCAATCCAAGTTTACATAGGAATATACAGGAAAAAATCTTTAGAAATCTTCTCAAAAACAGCAAGCCATGATTAGTCATATTAATAAAGAAGCATCCGCATGTATTGTAGATTCAAATTTAATCAAATCATGACCCCACAGGAGTAAAGAGGGGCCATAACAGGGTATCAAAGTTATACAAAGGAATATAAAGGATATTTCAATAAAAAATTTCTTCTCAATAACAGGAAGGCCATAATTGGTCATATTAATTCAGAGTAATTCTTAGAATTAGAATTCTAAGAATTAATTCTTCAAGTAGTGTAGATTCAAGTGCGTTCATATTATACCCTCCTCCCCCCCCTTCCCAACCACTTTTATGTTTAAACTTTTCAATAACGATATCTGCTTTCGACTAGCCAAAGTGCTCAGGTAAGTGATGTGGCCCATGGGCCTCTTGTTAGAAAGTGTACATGCATTGGAGTGTTTCCACAATGGCATTAAAAAAGAAAGTATAGGTCAAATGAATGAAAAAAATACTGTACACTTTGCTATAGTAAAGTTGTGAATACTGGTTAAAACAATGAAATGCAAGATCTGTGATCACATATTGTGATGTTATATGCTCCATATATGTTCAGCAATTAGTGACCCGTTTATACTGGTTTTGCATTTGCCATGTGTTATATGAATATTTATGAAAGAGGAATGCTAGATATACTGAAAAATCTGACATTGAGAATACTTGTCTTTTATGGAAATGTTGTAGAGATGTGATATGTGATAGTTGTAATACATGTACGTGTACTAAATGTGTCTTCTAAAAGATCCTGATGTATGACAATATCTCTTTCTGAGTAAAGCCAAAGTCATTCTAGTGACAAGTTCTATTTTGTAGTATGATACAGACTTCTACATTCTGGACAAGTTCCCATTGGCTGTTCGACCATTCTACACCATGCCTGACCCCAATAACCCAGTATGTTTAAATATATTACAGATAATAAAGAAAGTGTATAGAGGCTTTAAAATACATTGAAATCATTTCTGTGAATTCTGCAAATGTTTGTCATAGATTCAATTTTCAAGAAAATTTATTGTGTATTTTAGAAATATTCAAATTCATATGACATGTTCATGAGAGGAGAGGAAATTTTATCTGGTGCACAGCGAATTCACGACCCAGCTTTCTTGACAGAGCGGGCATCTGAACATGGTGTCAGTGAGTATATATACACGATACATATACTTGCCCTACAATCTTGTATACTGATAGATAAACACACTTACAATCATCAAATTTTTAAAGTGTATACTTATTTGGAGTTTCTAGTAATATCAGAGCATGCTGGTGCCCATTTGTCAAGAGTTTTGTTTATGTCACATATCAATCACAAACAATTTCATTATCTAGGTCTGGAGAGTATTAAGGCATACATTGACTCATTTAAATATGGAGCACCTCCCCATGCCGGTGGGGGTATAGGCAAGTATTTTTGTGTTTGACAACTTTGATTTAGAATTTGTACATGTATTTGAGAATTGCTTGACATATTAATAAATAATGTTATCCTTGCATATTGAATTATTTCCATACTTTAATGCAAATGTTTCATGAATATTTATTTACAGGTTTGGAAAGAGTCACCATGTTATATCTGGGACTTGACAATATCAGGAAAACATCCCTCTTCCCACGAGACCCCAAACGCTTGACTCCATAAAGACACAATAGATTTATAATTAATTCTTTTTTTGGCAATACTGCAATATAGGCTCTGGTTCTGTTTGAATACTGAAATCTGTGGTTAGGATAGTGGCATATTTGCTGGTACAGTTATAAAAAAAAAAATGTTACGACGGTCACAGTGATATGGTCCTTTTATGAATGTCAAGAAATGTGTATGTCATTCTATGTACATGTGCATGTTAACATATTAAATTAAGGATGAAACATTTTATATACATTTACTTACATGTATATTAATAATGTTAAGAATTTTATGTATTATTATAATCAAGTTCTTTCAAAGGATTTGGGAAATAAAATAGGAATTTTAGTTGTTGCTATTTTTCTCTTGACAATGGTTTAACAAGAGGCCCATGGGCCACAGCGCTCACCTGAGTAACTTTGGCCTTGCTGTTTTTCACCTGATTCCTCCCCCACTGTAGTTCTTATTGTGGCCCAGCCCTACCCCTAGGGGTCATGATTTGAACAATTAGAATCTACACTACCCCAAGATGCTTCCACATAAGTTTCAGCTTTTCTAGCCCAGTGGTTCTTGAGAAGAAGATTTTAAAAGATTTTTCTTATATATTTCAATGTAAAACTTGGATTCCCTATTGTGGCCCCGCCCTACCCCCAGGGTCATGATTTGAACAATTTAGAATCTACACTACCCCAGGATGCTTCCACATGTTTCAGCTTCTCTGGCCCAGTGGTTCTTGAGAAGAAGATTTTTAAAGATTTTTCCTATATATTTCAATGTAAAACTTGGATTCCCTATTGTGGCCCCGCCCTACCCCCAGGGGTCATGATTTGAACAATTTAGAATCTACATTACCCCAGGATGCTTCCATATAAGTTTCAGCTTTTCTGGCCCAGTGGTTCTTGAGAAGAAGATTTTTAAAGATTTTTCCTATATATTTCAATGTAAAACTTGGATTCCCTATTGTGGCCCCGCCCTATCCCCGGGGGTCATGATTTGAACAATTTAGAATCTACACCACCCCAGGATGCTTCCACATGTTTCAGCTTCTCTGGCCCAGTGGTTCTTGAGAAGAAGATTTTTAAAGATTTTTCCTATATATTTCAATGTAAAACTTGGATTCCCTATTGTGGCCCCGCCCTACCCCCAGGGGTCATGATTTGAACAATTTAGAATCTACATTACCCCAGGATGCTTCCATATAAGTTTCAGCTTTTCTGGCCCAGTGGTTCTTGAGAAGATTTTTAAAGATTTTTCCTATATATTTCAATGTAAAACTTGGATTCCCTATTGTGGCCCCGCCCTATCCCCGGGGGTCATGATTTGAACAATTTAGAATCTACACTACCCCAGGATGCTTCCACATAAGTTTCAGCTTTTCTGGCCCAGTGGTTCTTGAGAAGAAGATTTTTAAAGATTTTTCTTATATATTTCAATGTAAAACTTGGATTCCCTATTGTGGCCCCGCCCTACCCCCGGGGGTCATGACTTGAACAATTTAGAATCTACACTACCCCAGGATGCTTCCACATAAGTTTCAGCTTTTCTGGCCCAGTGGTTCTTGAGAAGAAGATTTTTTAATGAGCCCACCCAATTTTTGTATTTTCTTGATTATCTCCCCTTTGAAGGGGACTTGGCCCTTCATTTTAACAAATTACACTCCCCTTCACCCAAGGATGCTTTGTATCAAGTTTGGTTAAAATTGGCCCAGTGGTTCTTGAGAAGAAGTCGAAAATGTGAAAAGTTTACAGACGGACGGACGGACGACGGACAATGGGTGATCAGAAAAGCTCACTTGAGCTTTCAGCTCAGGTGAGCTAAAAAGGGTTTGGAAGGTATGAGATCACTTTCTTTATTTGCTTGAAAGGTAAGCAACAAGCATCTTAATACAAACGAAACAGCTATACATGTATCTCTACTTTTACAAGACTAGTCATAGTTCTAATTTCACAGCACTTCCTATAGAATGTCAAGGTAATTGTATCAGATGTCAGAATTCTTATTAGTCACATATTACACTTTGCAGGAACAGACTGAGGTAGATATCTTGCATGGTAATCTTCTTTGAGTTACTAGATGTTTTATGGAGAATGGAACTTGGAACATTGTCTTGAAGCTTGGTATTAATGATTATTTATCCCCAGTTTTGCAGAGGGACACACCAGACCTCATTTTTTGCCTGTCTGTCACATAAGTTCATTTTGGTTATAACTTCTGAATGAGAAAGTACAGGGCTTTCATGTTCCACATGTACATTACCTGTGAAAGACCTTTCCAAATGTACTATGATTTCTGACCCAGTGACCTTGAAGTTTGACCTACTTTTTAAAAATTTTAACATCAATAGTGACAACTTTTGAATGAATAGATAGCCTAAGGGCATTCATACTTGGCTTGTGCATTAGCAGCATAACCTGCGAGAACTTTCCAGATATGTATGATTTTTGACCCTATGACCTTGACCTGGAAGTTTGACCTCCTTTTACAATTTGACATAATGCATATTACATAGGAAATTTTTTTTGAGAAATCTTCTCATGAAAAGCAAGGCCATGTTGGTCACATTGATATTGAAGGATCAGTACGTTGTTTGGATTCAAGTTTGGTCAGAACCTCTTTGGTTGAGCTACAATATGAATATAGGGTCCAATTTTTCATGAGTATATGGAATGGGAAAAAATCTTTAAAAACATTCTTCTGCAGAACAGCATGACCAAGTTGACTCAGGCCAGTGTTGTGGCTTACGATTATTGTCTGGCTGCACATTTGCACAGGTGGTAAACAACACTAAGAGTGGTATTTCATGCATAAGCAGCACTTGAATGTAGGTAAGTTATTCCAAGTAGGTTAACACTGCCTAAACATTCTGATAGGCACTTGCCCCCCCCCCCCCCCCCAAAAAAAAAAGAAAATTAATGGATTTAGAAAGACACAATGGAGACTGAGAATTTAACATCAATTTTATATCAAATGAGGTGTTAAATTTTAATGACATACATTTAAGGCACTACATTTCCAAGTCCATTTGGATTTAACATTAAGAAAACAAAAATGAAAATAGTTCATTTCACAGATGTTTATATTGATTCTAAGCTTGTCAAAGGCTGACTGGATTTTTTCATTAATTGGTTCCAAGCTTATTAATAGCAGACTCAATAGATTTTTTCAGGAAAGATGTATGGAACTGTAGTATCTGTTGAACAGTTGTTACATGTTCTCTCTCCATCAGTTTTCCATACACATTGAGGGTGGCAAGGACGAGCTTTCCAAATTTCAAGTTCTTAGGAAAGGCTGGTGCAGATTTTCGCAAAATTTCTAGTATAAGTGATATGTCTTTTTTTCCCAAGGGAATCTTAAGATCAAAAAGCATTTGGTAAACTGGAAATTGAGCCTCTGTTATGTCTTCTAATGTTGAGTTAAGTTTCTTGATAAAGTGAACAAGAACTGGAACTGGCATGGAATCTTTCATTATCTTGCACATGACATCATAATGTGAGGAACTTGATTTCTCTGACAGAACAAGGTGCATAAATATTCCATCAACAAGGGAATTTGGAAGTTTTTCTCCAATAGCTTTCAAAAGACCTAGTATAGGTCTGGAGGCACCAGCAGAAAGTTTGGGCAGTAGAGCTGACTGAAGAAACTGTACACTGTTGTCATGACTAATGCTTTCACTAACTATCAGTAGATTCTGACAAGCACTTGCCACAGAATTTTCTGATAAACTATCAAGGTCCATAAATCTGCAGTACTCGCCCACCTGGTTTGGAGTTGAAGTGTAAAATAACTTAAATTCTTCTGGAAAATCTTTGTATTCATTTTGCCAGTGTTCTCTCAGCTTCATCAAATCAGCCTGTGTTGCTGCATCTAGGGATTCTAAAATTTTGTTTGGTTCTAGTGCCTCCTCTTTGGATACTTTGGCTTTCTTTACAGTTGGTTCTTCAGTGTCATTATCTTCTATTAAATCAGTCAATTCTACTGACTTGGTGGTACTTTTATTTTTACAGTCATCTGAAGGAGAGGCATATACATCATGCAATGTAGGATCTAAATGTATGCTGCTCTCCTCCTTTCCTTGTTGGGATAACTGTGATGAATGAGCCACATGACCCCGACCTGATGTTAGCTGCTGTAATACCGAGTTTGCCATCTTCTCATTGTCTGAGGTGAAAACATATCCTTTGACTTGCTTACAGTCGTCTGATATGTCCGTATTAAACAACTGACAATGAGCTACAAGCATTCGTATGTATGCATCAACCCAAGTTTCACCATGGACATAACTAGCAATGACTTTGGTAAAGTTGACCAATTCTGATGTAGGTATTTTGTGTCTGAAGTGAAGCAAAAGCTGAAGGAAGACTGATTGTAAACCATAGGAAAGGTGATGGAAAACAGGGTACCATTTAAGCTCTCTATCTTGAATGATAGGCTCCTCCTGCTGCAGGCACATGAGGAATTCTGACCATTGTGGTTGACAACCATATTTAGACATTGTTTCATTTTCATACCACTGAACTGCGGTGTTTAAGCAGGATGCATCCTGATCATTCTGATTGCATGAAATCTCTCTGACTAGATTTTTCCAAAGTCCCCAATCATAAGCCAACAAATCCATGACTTAAACATCTGCAAGAAACAAAAGCATTCTTTATCCTCCAAACTTAGCTGGTTTTCATTTACGGTTTTGTTTTGTTGTTTACACCGGATGAGACAGAATATTTATATGATTTTCGAACCCGATATTTTAAAATATTTGGATTGTGCTCCCGAGTCTCGATAATTCACCTATTTTCTGTAATCAGTTGGAACATAGAATTAACCTTGTAGGTCATTTAAAAAAAAATATTAATTTGTTATTTTAACATTTGCCACGAAGTATAAAAAAAACTTTTTAAAAGCTAAATACATGTATGTTAATCAGTGATCTCCAGAATTCTTGAAAAAAGGGGAGGGACAACAGGTTTTTTAAAGGGTCCAAGAAATATATATATTAAATGCGATGTCTAACAACATATGGATACGTCATACGAATAAGCAGCAAACTACCAATAGTCCTCTGCGTCTCCGCACACAGAGATTTGGTAATGGATTCGGTTTGGTACAAAGGAACTCTGGCGGAAGTTTGGAATATGCATGCAGGTCAAGTTCGAATTTGGTCATGGTCCGATGATTTTTGTCAGAGTTATCCCTCTTGAACTTAGAAAAAATAAGAATTTTTCAGTGTCCGCTCTCTAACTTTTGTAAAGATGTATGTATAAGGAAGAAATTGCATATGCAGCCAGGTATTTTACCAGAAAATACAGGTCAAGTTTGAATTTGGTCGTGGTTCGATGATTTTTGTCAGAGGTATCCCTCTTTTGCAATTTCTATTTATTATCTTAGTTATAAATGCATATTTTGTGCATAACTGCGAGTTCAGATCAACTTGCATTTTGCCCCAGATATTTGGAAGAAAACTTCCTGAATGGAGGTTCAAATTTCAATGCAAACAACTTTAAAACTAAATATGGCATTTGAAATTTTGGCTGTCTGCGGGGGCATTTGTGGCATTACGACACATCTTGTTACACTGTAATTCTTAATATGTATTTTTTGGTCACAAAAGAAGGGGGGGGGCAGGAAAATTCGCCAGTGTCAGTTATATTGAGTTGTGTCAATTTTCAATATATATCTTAATTCATCCTGACTTTTTTGGACAATGTTACAATCGGGCACACGTTTATCAGTCTGTACATCAAAGTTTAATGAATCTTTTTAATATTAAGAATACTTGAACTTATTCTCTCTTAAAAAAAAAATAATAAACCTTTCTCCAATGAAACTTTTCTTGCTCAAAATTATCTAGAACTTACTAGCAAATAATTTATTTCTAATTAAATACTCTTTTAGGATGTCCATTCCTAAATCATTACAGAAAAGGAATAAATAAGGAAGGGTGACAAAATTCCCTGATACTATCCACATGCAGCCAAATGCCTGACGAAAATTCGAAGCGGCAAAAATTGCATCTTTTCCGGTGAGAGACTGATGCAGGGCCCGATAAGTTCTTTCTTTACAGATTGCATGACCAATTTTCAGCTGCCGATTACATTTGAAATGACCAGTTTTCAACTGATTACATTGAAAAATACTTATTCGACGGAAATGAGTAATTTTATTTTATTTTTTTTTTTTTGCAAGATGGCAGAATTTTTTCTTACTAACAAACAACAAACTACATGACAATCAAAGGACCGACTTAATTCAGCTTTTCTATCATCGGCTTCCCCTTTTAACTCCACACACAGGCACTTGTTCTGTATAAAGTTTTACCCAGAAGTAAATTATCATTGTATAGGGTAAAATTTTATTACAGAAACACGTGTCTGTGACTCCACTATATATATCACCTGCATAAATTATCGCGCTTAATTATGTCTTCCAACTGATTCGGTACGCAAGAACATGTTCCGAGTATAATCATTTTCAAAGCCAAGACAGACCACTGACAAATAAGTTGATGTTACTGGCCTTTACACACTCTCGTTTAAAATCAACATTTAGCAATTCTATGTTATTATGCTAGTAATGACCTTGTTTGCAAAATTTAAAACATGCACAACCTATCGTTGGTTGTAGTTTTAAATGACTCGTTTCATAGCTAGTTGTTTAGCCATTGCTTGGGATGGCTGTGGACTACTCGTTACTGCTCTATTAGTCTATACAGAAGGCTCGTGGCGAGTTCGATCGGTCGATACGGGGTACTTACTCCCTTCAGACTAGGGATGTCAATTTTGTCAATGATTCATATTCGAATATTCAATGAAAGTATTCGAATATATTCGAATATTCGATAAAATAAATGAAATCTGGTTTATTTTAAATATGCATGATCCTACTCTCATGAAAGGTTTAGCGTAGGTATTCTAATATTGGAGTAAAACTGTGTGAAGGCTTTTGTAGATGTACAATAAGAAATTCCATTTGATATTTGTCAATCTGTGAAATAAATAATTGATTTAAATGTAGAAAAATATGATTTTAACAAATTTAATGAATTAAAAGTAGCTCCAACTGAGGAACCAATCGTCTTACCAAAGGCAGGATAGTCGTATACTGTTTAGATTTCAATACATGTAATTAATTACAGTTATCAGTCTAATAAGAGATATGATTAAATATTGGATAAAATATTTTTAAAATATAAACAAATATTTCCATAGACAATTTTCCTAGGTAATTAATTAATTTACCGATAATGAATATAAAATTCAGGATTATGTACAACCCGAGATAATCAAGTATTTTACACATTTATTCAGAAATCGAGCCCTTTACAATATCACTTACAGACTAATTCTATCAGACACTCATTCAATGATCAATTAAATTTATTTTGATCAGTATACTCTTCACGTCTTTTAGACATTCTAAGAAGGTTTTCATTTAATCAAAATTTACTAAACACTATTTCTTTTTACGAAATCTGTAAAACACCGAATATTCGAATCTTAAATTTATATTCGAATATCAACTCATCGAATGAATATTCGTTGACATCCCTACTTCAGACCAAACCTCTGGTATTTGCAGAGGTCTGTGTTTTTGCCCTGTTTACTTTCAGGTATCTGATCAAACCTCTGGTATTTGCAGAGGTCTGTGTTTTTGCCTTGTTTACTTTCAGGTATATGATCAAACATCTAGTATTTGCAGAGGTCTGTGTTTTTGCCCTGTTTACTTTCAGGTATATGATCAAACCTCTGGTATTTCCAGAGGTCTGGTTTTTTGCCCCGTTTACTTTCAGGTATCTAATCAAACATCTGGTATTTCCATAGGTCTGGGGTTTTTTTGCCCCGTTTACTTTCAGGTATCTGATCAAACCTCTGGTATTTCCTGAGGTGTGTTTTTGTCCAAGCCATCGATAAACCTCCAGCGGAAAGTGGAACAATATTATGTAGAAAAAGGGAAAAATGTTCCTAAACTGCAAATCAACGCCTGTGCTCGGTACAATTTTCTTACACTTTTAATCTTTGACTCTAAGGAGAGACCTTTATAAAATAATTTTTTAGTAGATTTTAAAATATCCAAAATTGTAAAATTCCGAGATTGTGAAGACGTTCAGAGAAAATGATAGAAAGATGAGGGGATCCCAGCGCAAAAGCTGCATTCAAAAACTTATAGGTTGTCTGAACAAAACCAAGAAATGATATCAAATTGTTACATAGTAGTTTTGCTGGGTAGATATAATATGAAAATCAAGATAAAGTAAGCTCATCTGCTTCACATAATTTTTATTTGATATAAGTTCCAAGTTATCTCTGTCATCGCATGCATATTATTCTTATCTCAGTTTTATATCAAAACCAACTTCACATTTCAAATTAATGCAAACTTTGTTCTTTTATCATGTATAAGCATACATTACACAATTAATGTAAATTAGTTATGCAGTGACCAGGCTTCGGGGCCACCAAATTATAAAAATCTCATGCTTTCTGTGTTTACACGTTTTACTTTGTGTATTCATGGATTAAAGTGTGCACTGTCATAACATTTACGACCATTTTACTTAAAAATAACTCTCTGAGATTTTTTCTCAGCTGAGTCGGAAAAAACGTTGGTGGCACGCACGTTTCAGAGAAATCTCAGATTTGAGAAAAAAAAAAAAACAAACTCAAAAGACAAGTCTGAGTTTGAGAAAATATTTATTTGGTGGCACAGTTCGGTGAGAAAAACTCAAATTTTCTGAGAAATCTTAGATTTGAGAAAATCTCAGCATTGGTGGCCCGGAAGCCAGGTTATTCATAGGTTTTGCATTTGCCTTCTACAACAACCATGTACATATAAAATTGGAAATGCTGAAATAAGCAAGGCCATGTTACTAATTACACTTCTTTAGACTAATGTTGTCATAAGAATGGAATAACAATGCAGAAAGGGGATGATCAATCTTCAATACATTTTCATGTTTACTAATTGATTTTCATTTGTTTGCACTTTTGACAAAAATATTGAGATGGTCACCATCTAAAGTGCCCCAATATTGAATGAAAAGGAATGCAAAAGGACTTGTAAAAGAGTTTGAAATTTGCCAAACAGGCCAAAGAGTAGAAAATTTATACTCCAAACAAAGAATTTTCAATAAGATCTGATTTAACCTTACCTTGCATCAAAGCCACTTAAGGGAAGTATTTAAATGTTTTAAGGAGATAGAACCAAGGAGTAAAGTGTTTACACAGAGTCTGTTTTGACCTTGCCTAAGACCTAGAAACTTGTTTCAAAGTCATGTATGAGCCAAAATAATTCAGCTGCAGAAAATAAATACCACAGATGAGGATTTTACACAAAGATCTACTTTGACTCTGACCTTTGACCTAAAATTTGGTAGAAGATTATCATCCCTTTTACCCAAGGGCATTCTTTAGGAAAAGTACGTGACAAATTGGAGCAAAGGGAAAAATGCTTGGGATGAGGGTTTTGAGCTTTTACCTTTGACCTGGAAACTTGAATCAAGGTCAATATACAACCTTTACTTATAGGCACTCTGATGCTGAAGTATGAACCAGGCTGAGCTGAGCGGACAGAAAACAAATAGGCAGAAAGACAAACTGACCAATAAGGGCAGCTGCAGAGCAGGACTCTAAATCTACATGATCAAGCATGTTGTAATATGGTTTAGGACACCATTTCTCTGAAATTTGTAAGATAGGGCTCAGATTAAATTAATTAATGGCATGTGACCATGGATTCAGGACAGTATACCCTTTTTAATGCACACTGTGGAAACAGATCATCTAAGAATTCTCCAAGAAGAACACTTTTTTGTGGCTTTCTTTGAATTCCCTGATGTCTTATTGAGATGTGGAACGTTGTCCTGTAGGTTAGTGATAATCTCTAGGTATTGCTTCTCCTTTATATCAGCATTTGTCTCTTTCACCCAGGACACAGTGATGGCATTGAAGTGCCACTTCTGGAGATATAAACCCACTTCTTGGTAATCATTGTTACTCAGGTGTGCCTGTTCAAATAGAAAATCCTTAAAGCATGTAAAGTGACTGATTGCTAAAATCCTGATCATTACTGTAAAATAAGAAAGTTCTGATAGTTTAAATTTGATAATACCATGAATACTGTAAACGTTTATTGCAGTATCAAAAGACTTGCAACAACCTGAAAAAAATCCACACCAGGAAAAATATATCTTTCAATATTTTAGCAAATGTTGATTAAAACTTTATAGCGAGCGCAGCGAGCAGCGCGAAGCGCTGCTCGCGAAGCGAGCTCAATAGACTAACGTGTAAGAACAGAGGAAATTCGGAATGAAATCTGTACATACGTCAGGCAAATTTTCTGGTGCAACATTCCCAGAATTCCTTCGCTACCAGGGTTCCATGCGAAATTCTTACAAAACATACAAAAGACCAAGGATAATTATTCATTACAGAGAGATACGTTTACTTTTCTTTCTTTGCAGAGAGCTTAAAAGAAACAAAAAATAATTACATCTACTCTACAGGGTATTTCATTTATTATTGCACAAGATCTTTAGTCTCGTTCAACCAGACGCTCGGCTGTCTCCGTAAATTCCGACGTCATGTGACGTCACAGTCTAGCCTGTGTCTTGTGCGGTTTGACGTTTGAAGAGGCGGATCAATGTTACAAGTGTAAGCTGCTATAGCTTTTTGATGGTATAACTGCGCTCGCCCCAACGGTCACACCGTAAAACATATTATAGATTTATTAAATATGTAGAATTTCTTGATGTGAAATAAAATTTCATTAATGGTTCAGAGACTCCTTTTAATGACACCAATGATTGACCAATGATTCATTATACATTATACCTGAAGTCGGGTTCGGATATCCTTTGATGACATGCCTAGGTAAATCACTTTTCTTTTCTGTTTAAACGTATAAATACCCGGTGTTTTGAAAGGAACTCCTCCATCCTTCGGTTTTGATAAAGCTGTATCAATTGGAACGTTCTTTCTCAGCAGTTTTTTGCATTTTGCATAAATTTTCAGGTACTTGTACGACTCCTTCAAATTAGTTAAAACGGGTTATTGGTGAGTCAAACTTTCTTTAAAAAAAAAAAGAAAAACGATACACAAATTTCATTGAATAAAATCTTTAAAAACTTAACATACAAACCTTGATAACATCGTATATGTTCCAAGTCCATTTCAACATCTAACGTGTTTAACACTATAGTTATAGTAACAAAGATATCCTGATATGTATAGAAACTCGACAGACAACATTCGTCAGTCAAACCGAAAGGAGGTTTAATAATTATGATAAGTTCGAACCCGATGTATTTATGGGCCAAGTGATTTTGCGTGATAACTATGTTAACCTTTTTGTATATATAGTGATCGCGTAAAAAACAAAAACAAACATAGAATGTTACCGCCCCTGTGTAGGTAACGACGTAATGACTTTGAGGAAAACACCATGTGCTTTTCCTATATTCATTAGCGAAAGCAAACGTGAACAACAAAACACTTTTTCTCCTAGGACGTTTATTTTGAAATCCCGAAGTACAGGACATTTGCACATTTTCATCTTCATGATCACTCAGTTCGGGTTCATTGTGAGGATAATGTGCCTGATCTTCTTCTTTTCCTTCGGCTTGTCTTTTTGTTTCTGTGATGATTTGTCTTTTCAGTGGACACAATGTATGATCTTCGATCAATCTATTCTTGAATTATGATACAGAGCAATCCCCCAAGGTAGTTTATCATTATAGATACATGTATATAAGCAAGATTGATGCACAACATCAATTCGGTCGCAAACAAAAGTAAGCATTTAACAGTCATTCTACGATAAATGGACCAATTCAGGGTCAGTATAAAACACGAAAAAAATAATTGATTCAAATAGCAAAATGAACATCATAATTCTCTAAAGGACATCTCAGTGAACTTAAAAAAAAAGAATTGTCCACAAATCTGGTATCGTTAACTTTTTAAAACAATTTCAATATACCATTGATTTTAAGGTAATGTTACGGAAGTTAATGCTTGACCATCATGTCTTATTATTTTTTGAATAAAGCTAAATTTGACCAATTTGTCGTTTCTGATGTTCAGTATGATTCGTGAAGTCTTGCATGAATCGTAATTAATTTAAAATTTCGGGAAAAATATCGTTTCGGAAGTTAATCGTTACTGAAGTTAATTCCTAGCAATAAAAGTTAAATTTCTCGGCAATAGTTAAAATCAAAGTTTGTTTTAGGATATTAAACAAAAGTATGACGCATTTTGCTCCCAAAGTAATATATATATATATATATATATATATATATATATATATATATATATATATATATATATATATATATATATATATATATATATATATAATTATCTTTTTATACCTTTAATGCAAGCACTTTCCTGAATTACCGTTACGGAAGTTAAATTTTTAAGAGAAACAACTGTTTTTTGTCTAATTCATTTTGTTATATCGAAAATGTAATCGTCTAAAATAGCTGACTCGCAACTAGAATCGATGATATAAGGTACCTTGGTCACTTTCAGATAAATTGAACAGTTCTTTTTGAAATCTGTATTCTGTGCGTGAAATTTAAACAAAATCGTTACGGAAATTAATCGATTTTTAGCGACATGCTATGATTTTGCATGAAAGAAGATCCATGTATTTCTTTGCGAAAAGTGGTTTCATTTCTTTTTATACAGGATAAAAAAACTTTTTGCAACATTCATAGCAATCTATTCGGAACGCTTTTACGGCTGAAAATTTCATCTTGAAATTTGTAAATAAATGAAGCGACATTAAGATTTGCAGTGGACTACGTTTTTCAACATTACATGTTCATATCAAAACCTCAGTTGCATATATATCGGTAAATATTTGCAAAACCATGTGTGTATGTGAAGTCTTAGAGTTGAAATCGATCTTTAAATTTATAGTTAAGATATAACAACTGTAAATTTGCAAGCGACATAAAAATTCTTAATTGGACATGTTTTTGTAGAATGACTGATAAACGTGTCTGAGGAAAGCTCAAGTTTTTCAAACCTGAAAGAATGATCATTTCTAACTCAGACTGTTTAAAAAAAATTCGAAGAAAACAAGCATTCTGAGAGTATTGCATTAGCAATACTAGTCCCGTACCGGCAAGTGTAATCTGGCTCCCGTTAAAAATTGAAAATGCCATAATTCCGTCAAAAATCATTGAAGCGGAACGAAATGCAAACTTGATCTATAACTCATCAAGGTAAAGTCACATATCAAAAATCAGCTCAATATCTACAAGCGTTTAGAAAAAAATTGCGGAAAACCCTGAAAATTGAAAAGGTCGTAATTCCGTCAAAAATCATTGAAGTGGAACGAAATGCAAACTTGAGCTGTAACTCATTAAGATACACTCACATACCAAAAATCAGCTCAATATCTGCAAGCTTTTAGAAAAAAAAATTGCGGAAAACCAAGTGGGGCAGACTGACAGACAGAAGGACAGACAGACGGAAGGACAGACTAGGAGGAAACCTATAGTCCCCTTCGGTTTCACCGGTAGGGGACTAAAAAGATATGGCGCCTACTTTCTAAATTTGGATCAGTACATTCCACTTCATGGTGTGAGTCGAATTTCTCCCGTCGAGGAGCAGAGTTTTGACGCTGTTTGCTAATTATGCAAAATTATCACACAAGCCAGTTGCTTGATCACATCATAAAAAAAAACAAGATGTGTTTGTGTAACACTGATGCCCCCGTATTACATCTTAATGCAAAAGTGAAAGTTTTTCAAATGCAAGTCAAACTCCAAGATCAAGGTCCAGATAAAAAATGTACCTATAGAATACCTATAGAAAGGCCTTGCTCAAGGAATATACCTATGAAATATGAAAGCCCTAACTGTTCAAAAGCAGTAAAAACACTAACTGTTCAAAAGTTATAGACAAGGTTAAAGTTTTTCAAAAGTAGGTCAAACTTCAAGGTCAAGGTCATAGGGTCAAATTATTGGTACCCAAGGGAAGGTCTTGTCACAAGAAGTACACATGTGAAATATGAAAACCCTAGCACTGACTGATCAAAAGTTCTGGCCAAGGTTATAGTTTTCTCCAGAAGTGGGTTCAAACCCCAAAGTCGAGGTCAAAGGATCGAAATAATTGGTATCCAAGGGAATGTTTTGTCACAGGAATACTCATGTTAAATATGTATGCCCTAATACTAACTGTTCAAAAGTTATGGTCAAGGTTAAATTAAGTTTTTCAAAAGTAGGTCAAACTCCAAGGTCAAGATTAAAATGTCAAAATTGTTGGTACCGAAAGAAAGGTCTTGTCACAGGAAATACACTTGTGAAATTTGAAAGCTCTAGTACTAATTGTTTAAAAGTTATGGGCAAGGTTTAAGTAAGTGGGTCAAACTCTAAGGTCAAGGTCAAAAGGTAAAAAATATTTACACCCATGGAAATGACTTATCACGATGAATAGACATGTGAAATATGAAAGCCCCAGCACCAACTGTTCAAAATTATGGCCTAGGTGAAGGTTTGTTAAATTTTTGCAAAAGTGGGTCAAACTCCAAGGTCAAGAGGTCAATTATGTTGGTACCCAAAGGAAATCTTGGCACACGGTATACACATGTGAAATATGAAAGCCATAGCTCAAATTAATCAAAAGTTATGGGCAATGTTAAAGTTTTTGTGCACAAAAAGCTAAACAGACAGACAGACAGACAGACGGACGGACAGGGCAAAAACTTTATACCCCGAATCTTCGATTATGGAGGCAAAAATACGTGACAGCTATTCTTTATAATAAAGACAAACATGCCATGTATGGTTGTGTAGATAAGTTATCGCAGAAGACAATAAATAGTTTTAACAGGTTATATTTTGTAAAAATATTTTCAAAGAAGTTGAACATATGTGTTACTCTGATTCACATATCAGTTGAGAAATAGATATTTTAAAATGAAAACCATACATTTAAGAAAAAAATAGAAATTAGATACATGGCAGTTAAAACTCCATTTTCATAAAAAAGAGAATATTTTAGAATATAAAGCTTAAAAATTAATAATTTTCTTCACTTCAGATCGTGTTAAGATAAGCAACAATTCCAGTTATGACAAAGATGACACTCAGCCTGCTCTGTACAACTATAACCACATTATTTTACGCCCTCTGTGGATTACATAGTCTCAGCTTTGTTGTGATACTTTGGTGGTGGAGGCATGCATTTGTTCTTATATATACATAATACTTAACTGATTAAAAATTTGAGGAAAACATACGGTGAGTGTTTGGTAATTTTTTCTTAATATAACCTGTAAGAACAATTTGAAGATATGATATATATATATATATATATATATATATATATATATATATATATATATATATATATATATATATATATATATATATTGCAATGAATTTGATAGTGATCGAGATATTTACCTCAGAATTAAGCCCATCACGAAATTGCGACCAGAATAATCAAGCATAAAGTTTTAAAAATAAATAAATAAATACATGATTTTTTTAAGGTGCTCCAAAAAATTTTCAAACATCTCCCAAGATGCCAAATAGCGGGAGACCAACCCTTCAACAGAAGCACATACCTTATTTGAAGGCCGAAGAAGAGAAAGAAACATTTCTGGGGGCATATCCAACCAACCACTAAACCAGTTCAAGAGAAGTTTTTTATTCAAGAGGCAGAATATGTGTAATGCTAAACAGGGTTTGAACGAATCCAACATATCTGAATGCTCTGTTGAAATCCAGGAAGCCTTAAGTTCTGGTATTAGCGACATCAATCAACCCAGCCAAGACCAAGACCACACAATTTAGTTAATCGTAACAGGAACAAAACAGTTCCAATAAATTAGGCTGAATAGAATGTACAGAATCATCATCAGAAAAAATGTAGAGTAAAAGGGAATTTTTTCGACACCTTTACGTGATGCGGATGTATCTTTACTTTATTTAAGCATTTTTTGTTTTATTTTACATATTCTTATTGTTATGAAGATCTGTTTACAACTCAGAAATGTAGACAAGTTAAATTAAAGATTGGAGAGATTCAGGGACTCGGAGACAGGAGGAGTTTGGAAAAGATATGGACAAGCGAAAGGTAGAAGGGAGGCAAAATCAGGATATAGTTAAGAGATAAGAAAGGGTGGAAGCACAGAAAAAGGAAAAAATGTACCTTCCCCACCCAACTACAGAAGTGTGACAGGTGTAGTATAATGTTTGTTGAACATGGCAGATATTTAATCGAGCAAAAAAAAAAAACAAAATTTTTCAGAAGTTGTTAAAAATCTCTATACTCCCAAAGGAAAAAAAATATGATTTTCATAAACAGCAGTATAGAAAAGTTTGCACTTTTATGTTGACACTAGAAATAGTTTAGAGCTTCATTGAGGCATTGCTAGTATAAAAGAAGTTTATGATGGAGGTGGTTTGATTTGAATTGTATGCTTTTTTTCCTTAGAAAATGTAAAAGTGAATGTGAACACTTTGAGAGAGATACATGCTGCTGATTTATTATGTTCAACGTATGCTGAATTTTTTTTTCTGTGTACAAATTTTAAAACAGAGGAATCATAACATTAAAATACTCTGCTATTATTTGAGTTCATTAGAGAAAGGATATAACGATCACTTAGGACTAGAAACCCAAAGCTTATTCACTATCGCCGTACGTTTGTTTTTAATGATTATTTCATGTTTATTTTATTGTATCCTATATCAATCATAATCAATGCATTACGAAAACTTTTATGTGAAATACATTATTCGATATCATATATGCATTACAGAAACCATTATTTGTTTTTTTTTTATATCAATCTTAAAATGTGCATTGCACAAACTATAAATGATAACAATAGTCGATATTAATCATGAGCTACACATTACACAAAACAATACAATAATCGATATTAATCACGATATATGCATTACACAAACTATTACTGAAAATAATAATTTATCAATCATGATCCACACATTACAAAAATTAAAAATATAATACAGTATTCACCATCAATCAGGATGGATGTATGTATATGCAGTACACAAATTACTTAACACAAATAATAATAAAATACAATATTCTATTATCAATTACATGCATTATATATATATATATATATATATATATATATATATATATATATATATATATATATATATATATATATATATATATATATATATATATTTTCAAACAATTCGAAGACATACCAAATCATATTAATGTTAAGCAAAACTAGTTACCTAGAAAACTATTTGAAAGCGATATACTGCATCAATTCATCCAGATAAATTTTTTGCAGCATTTTTGAAAAGATGCTGAAATCTCATGATAAATTGATGCTTACGCTTTCTCTTCTAAGAACAATAAAACTGTCTATGGGACCTGCATGTGCTCCCTGTAAGTCGACTGAAAATGCGTGGCATATTCAGCTGTAATGACAATAAATACATCTCGTATGTCCATGTTTGTTTGAACAATAACAGAGTCATCTTTTGTATTCATATTTCTCACAATATCTGCATAACCAACTTGAGATCCAATGAACACTGTATAACTATAGTCTATCCTGGAGTCTAATTGGAACACTCCATTCCACGTAACATTCAACTTTCCCTTGCCCATCGAAATTTTGCATCTCTTTCCTTCAATATTAGTAATATAGATAAAAAGGGGTAATGTATAATTATCTGTTTTTTTTATTAAGATGAATTCTTTCAATTTTTGCATTTCTAACAATGACAGTGATCTTACCTGTTTGGATTGGAGCAATATCAAGTACTTTTATACTTCCATTTATTGAGTCACTCATTTTCCCACCAGAATTGACTGCGTACACGTTAGCTGTATAGGTACCGTTATACTGAAGATCAAGATCATCAATTGAAACATAATTATGCTTTCCAATATTTGTAGAATTTAACACTATATTTTCATCAGATTTTATGCAAAAGTTATAATTAATGAACCCTGTAATATCCTGAAAGCTCAACCAGTTAAAATGAAGTGAACTAGTGGAATGTTGGATATGTTCCAGTGTCTTCATCTTAAAGCTGTTAACAGCAAAATTCACTTCCGACTGAGTGGTGATTGGCGCTTCGTATGCCACAATAGTGACATTTTTATTATTGACCTCAGAAATTAATCCAATCGTATTGACGCATTTCACGGAAGCGAACACTTTTGTGCCATGTCTAAGTCTCTTGCTTGTTGTGCATTCTGTTGTATTTTCTGATTTGAACCATGATAAAATTGTGTCTGAACCCATAATGTTGCCTGGAAACAAAATATTTCAACTAGCTGAGTTAAAAACATTTTTATTAGAACTTGAAAAAGTGATAGTCAAGAAATCTCTAACTTTTAAAGATAAAGTTTGATTGTAAAAAAGAAAGAGAAACTTACCCAAAGCACAAGAGCATTCCCGTATGTCACTTTGTTCCTCCTCTACATTCCATCGTATTGTAAAAATGGATTTTACTTCAGTATCATCTGTTTCATATGAAACAAAAACGTCTGTAATAACTATCATGGGTGCTGTGTGATCTAATGCAATGGGTAAAGCATAAAAGTTTTCTAGCAAACCAGCACCATTTTTGGCGTAAACGGAAACAATTATTGGTGTTGTTTGTTGTTGTAAAATGTGGATTGTCCTGACAAATGTTCCAGTATTCATGGAAAAGTGTGCTATCTGCTGGGCATTTTTAATGGTTCCAACTAACACATCCACAGATGTTATATCACTTTCTTCGTCCACAATAAAAGCAGAAATTAACACGTGATTTGGGGAAATTTGGCGAAAGGAAATGACTTTGTCATTTGCTTCTTCAAGTCTCAAACATTTCTGTCCAGTCACACGAATCGTAAAATTATCGTTCATCATTCTTAGTGTTGTGATATCTACATATACATTGACGGTTTTTTCAGTTGAAGACAGATAATGGAATCCATTTTCTAAATCATCCGTTGGAATTTCATGGCTAGTGTCTTCAATAAAAATGTGTATTGAATCATGACGAAATTTGTGAAGCGTATGTACCTGAACGTTAAATCTGTAGTGGCCCTTTGTGACATTAAGTTGTCCTGATACAAAGTTTTCTTTGGCAATCGACGAAACTGTTGAATTGTATATAATTTGACTGTAGTGTTGGCATTTCATTCCTTTTGGCTTTGACCCATCGAATGATATGTGTTGAGATCGAGCTGCGTTGCTTCTAAGACCAACAGAATTTTGTGCTTTCACAAGAAAGGTGTATTGTTTATGCATATTTAGAGTGAGATTTGAAAAGGTGTGTTTATTCCGGATTCCTACATTCTCGAAGTTTTTGATAATATTACCATCAGAATCTACCAAAGCCACAAAGTAGCTACTTATGAAGGACTCGTGATCTGTAAAACCTTCCCAAGATGCTGTTAATGAAGTCAAAACTGTTTGCCAAGGACTATTTTGGAAGAAAGCCGTATTATACACAATACCGACTGATGGAGAAGTATCATCAATAAGAATGCCGGAAGAGAATAATGTTGTTTGAAGACCAACATTGTTAACTGCTTGAACAGTCGAAAAATACTTGACTCCGGGGTGCAAGTTGGAAAAGTGCCAAGTGAAATTCAATTTTAAGCCAACATTGAGTATGCCCGAAACATCATGCCCTATAGAATAATAAATGTAAATATTTAATTCCGAGAACATAAATTAAAATTACGAAATTAACAATAATGAAAACAGTGACACATGAACATTACTGCTGAATAACAAGAAGCGTATGCTAGGGTTAAAGATATAGGGATAGATTATCAATAATATAGAATAAGTCTAAATTTTGACAATTAAAGACGTATCTAATTACCTCCCGGCACTGTTCCTACAAATATTTTGTAGTTCTTTATTCCACTCTGCCGATCTGAAAACACTCCGTCCCAGCAAGTCGTTAAATCTTTGAATGATTTCCCCGAATGGGAATGTGTGGCACAGTTATCAAGCGAGTCTTTCAAGGCTTTACCCCTATTTATCTGTGGGGGAGAAGTATCGATGGTAACAGGTTCTGATTCAGATATTACATAGTCAGTGCCCGTCATCCATGACCTCAAAAATATAACATATGAATGCATATGTTTAAACTGCTTTCCAGGAGGCAAACAATAGACAAACTGAGTATCGAGGCCAATGTTTTTCCAAGGATATTCTTTGTGAAGATCAAATACATCATATCCGATTGAAATTCCTTCTAAGCCTACACTCCATTCATACCTTAGAATCGTATTGCTTGTTGAGTCCCAGTAGGCAGATAGGCAACGTGTTGACGGACTATATGTATGGTGTAACAATAAGCCGTCTGAAATAATGTGGGGAAAAGGTTTCGTAGTAGAATTGAATTCTTTGCATTGCATTCCTACAATATTGTTTGAGCATTTTTTGTCAATAGCTGAACATGTACAGTCATTTGTACAAGTCAGTAAATCACATGAATGTTTTTCGAGCAGCAGTCTACCGTGAGACATATTATTGTTTGTAGGAAGAACTAAAAACGTTACATGTCTTGCTGTGCTGTTGAGACCAACATTGTTCTGGGCAGACAGACTTAGCAAAATTTTCTCATTTTGCACTAATTTTCGAGTAATATTTAAGGTTACTTTTTGTGCTTCATAGACATCACCATAATGAGGCACTTTGATTGTCTGCCCACTGATTTCACGTCCATAGAGAGTTTCGCTTAGATGCATATAATATGCCACCACCTGTGTTTCTGGATCTACGAAATCTTTCCAGTTAAGTATTAAACTTAAATCATCATTGGACCATACAGCATTATCTAAAATATGTCCAACGAATGGTGGTGTAGAATCAATGATTATCTCATCACTCTCACTCGAAGTACATAGCCTCGCTGCATTGCATGACGTCACAACTATTTTATATTTGTCTCCAGAGCTTAACCATTTTGAAGTATCTAGGGAGATTGTCTTCGTTTCATCACCGTAAAAAACAATGTCATCAAGATATGTGTTACTGTTATGGATTGTTTGAAGGGAAATTAAGCCTTTAGATAAAGGACTCTCATTATCTTTGAATTTCCACTGGATTCTTAATAAAGATGAATCATACAGTTCAACAAGAGAGTTTGATTTTATGACGTTCGGTGAAAATACAACAATAGGTGGTGTTACATCAACAAAGAATTCACCAGAAGATGCAGCTGACGTTAATCCGGCTTTATTTTCTGCCTTTACTATTGCATATAGGCGCTGATTTTGTGGCATGTTTAAATCAAAGAGTAAAACTGAAGTTTCATTTCTGCATTTTTTCCAAGCTTTCACATCACAGAGAAACTTTTTTGAGCCTAAACACACAAAGTATTGTAAAATTCCTGATTCTGCATCTATAAAATCTACCCATGACACTCGTAAATTTTTGCTGAAAAATTAGAGAAAATCAGTATTAAAATCTTTTCCTAATTGATTACTTTTCCTCCTATAGTTTCAAGCAGAGTAGCATTTGTTTTAGTAGTAAACATGATTATTATATCTGTGTGATAAACATAAAGCACATACCTGTCAGGTACATATCTTTCGTTGTTTTCCCCTATTAAAACCCTTCCAGGTATCGGAGGTGAATCATCAAGTATTATTCCATTAGAAGATGCAACACTGCAGAGACCAGCTTTATTACATGATTCAACAGTTACAAAATATTTCACGCCTTTTCTGAAATCTTTATACCAGGTCCATTCTAGATCAAAAAGGAAAAATAATACAAATAGCTTGTTTAAAAACATAAAACATCATTAATGAAAAAAAACCAGTTACAGATGATTTAAGCTAACCCTTTCGTAAACCAACATCAGTCATTCGTATTACGTCAGTTTTCCTCTTAAGGTCAGTTCCAAGGCCAACACGGTAGTTTGAAATCATGGAGTGAGGGTCATGAAAATTTGTCCAATGAAAAGATAGGCTGGAGGCATTATTACTGAACATCAAATCGACCTGAAGGAAATAATATGCAAATCAATTGGCAAAAATGAGAAGCTAATTACATCCACTCACCTCGTAAACGACAGTCAACTCACAACGATACATTGGGATAACTTTAACAGACATGGAGAGCAACGTAAAAAAGAGTAAAAATAACCGACAAAAAATTATTATTTTAAAATGTCAGTTGGATCATTGACGTAGAAAGATGAAAAGATATTTTTTTTTTACTTTTAAAACTTTTAAGAAATATATAATTCTAATAAGGAAAATAATTTAAATATACTAGGATTATCAATTACCCCAGTTTCTAACGGACCATCAGGAACTACACCAACCAAAGGTGGTGAGGTATCAACAATAAATGGAGCTGATGACACAGTGGAGTACAATCCAGCATAATTCCATGCCTAAATGAACACACAATCAGTATCTCGATAACAGTCTACAGAAAAATAGGCTTTACTGATGTAAAAAAAATTGAGTGAGGGAAAAAAACCCACATCAAAATATTAACATTTAAATTCAATGCTTGTCAGTGCTGAATTTCACGGCACAAACATTTTAATAATGTTATAATATGCTAAGTACCTTTAGATCTAAACGATATTGATGACCATCAACAAATGAAAAATAGTCTTCGAGGTCAGCAAATGTGTTTTTGTTCACGGAAAAGTATGATGACACCTGTTCGTTAAAAGACCGAATTCCAATCTCATATTTGTCGATTCCACTTTCCCTATCTTCAATACCTGTCCAATGAGCAATCAGATTACCAGGAATGACCATTGTTAAGCTTTTGATGTAACTCCCCACGGTTATCATTCCTGTCGTTGGAGGGGTAGAATCAAAGATATATGGATCGGACGATGATGTTACGTTGTTTCCAGCATGATCAAAAGCTGCAATATCACAAGAAACAAATCTGCTAGTTTATTTAAAAGCATACGCATGTAACAAAATAAAGTTACTGAGTAAATTTATGATATTTACTGCATTCAAAGACACTTCTTCATACCTCTGATGAAAAAATAATAGGTCAATCCGTTTGTAAAGGACACATTTCTTAGAACTGAGGATTCCGATAAACCACAATGCGCAAAGGACATAATATCTTGACTGTCAAGATGAGTGCCTCAAATAATAAAGAGAAAGAGATATATTGTATTTTTTACAGAAGAAAAAAAGGCTTTGTAAGATTTATATTATCTAACGAGAAAATATCATACCAGCTCAATTGTTTCTAGACAAACCGATAAGCTTTACCTATTGCTATATCGTATCTATCAATAGCAGATGGATAAAGAAACTTTTGAAAATGTGATCCATCTGCAAAGCCATGCCATAGTACAGTGATTGTAGAATTCGAATGAATGTAACCATTGTGATGATTGTAGACCTTTACATTTCCCGATGATGGTGGAACATTATCTATCACAAATCCGTCGCTACAACCATCAGTAACATTCACACACAAGTAATAAATTTTCCCCGTTCGTAGACCTAAGTATGTGGGAAACCGCACGAATCCCCCTAAGGTGGTTTCATGATAAATACAAGAAACATCTGTCAGACAATCAGTAGGAAACCTTTTTCCCGTCATTACAGTCCATTGTACATGATTTTGTCCCGTCCCGATGGTAAATCCTCCAAGTTGTAACCTTCTTTTGTTTGTAAAGTCCATTTCATTTTCATGAAGTGATTTTATCATATCCGATCCCAAAGTAGAAGTAAATCTATAATCATCTAAGTTTTCTATTGGTAAAGATTCCAAATTTAAATCGTAAACAACAGATTTGGGGAACTCGTTCGGGTGCTGTTTTATCCATACTCGTGAACATTGCAGAGACGAAAATCCAGAATCACAAAATCCTTTTACACAGAGGTAAAGATTTCCGTGGGGATAAACCGGTAAATTTACACAAGTCGATACCTTAGGAGGAAAAGAAAATTTATACTAGCTAACCTTAATTGGAAAACCCTACTCAATTAGAATATCAATTTTGTAAAACAATACTTACGAATATGGTATCATTAGGTGCGGATTTTACAGAATTATATGTGGTAAGTTGTTTTTCTCCTTTGTTGTCCCCAAAGAAAGCCCATTTATAAAAAATTGCATGTTTCTTTAATTTTGCACTGCAAATGAACTTCTGAAAGGTGATGTTTACTACATAACATTTATTATCCGATAAGTCGAATGCTGCAGACAGGTGTCCCATATTTATGCCAAGCTTTTCTAGATGAAATCCATTGGACATCCATGATTTGGAACAGATATGTCCAAAACATGGTTTTATCGATACTCTATAAAGGCCATCTCTCAAAGGGCCAGTAAGTATTGAAGAAGAAAATGTTTTTTCAATGTCTTTACTTAGTAAAATTGTTTCATTGCAGGCTTGCTGTACCGAACAAGAGTTATGATGAACAGCCATTCTATAACTTGTGATAAAACTAGAACTTGGTCCATGCACTTCCCAATTAGCTGATATCTTATCCATGCTTTGTAGGAATTGGAGATCTTTCATACATTTATGGAGTATAAGCTCTGGCAGCTTAACATTTTCTGAGAGTCCTTCGATGACGAAAGAAGGATGCTCCTCTATTGGAATAAACGATATAAAATCACTGA